TAAGAGAACTTTTCTTATTAAATAATCTCATAAATTTCTTCGTTTACGTTATGACTAAATAAAATCTCATTTAAGGATAATTATTAATGAGTACGATGGAATAATATTTTCTAATAAAGTTTTTTATTTCCATATCCGTAAGGGTAACCATTTTTTATGTATCTATATAGCATGCATTGATAATATAACAGCTACAAATGAATCCTTGAACATTGACTCTATCTATGGATAAGAAAGTTAAGTGTTATATTATGTCTACATGTAAATGTGAATAAATCTGCATATATATCTACCAGGAATTATTCATATTTATTTACTGGTGACTATATTAAAAACTGAAAATCAATTCATTCATTTAATTTTGTTGGCAATATATAATTTCAATATATATAAGTATTGAAATATTATCATCATATAAGATATATACAAGATAAAAAGTAATAACTTAGCAGATATTTATTAAATACAATTTTATGCATTTAGTAATTGTATCAAAGGTTTGAATATACTAATCTTCTACGTCATAGTTTTACAATTCTTTTGAAATAATGGAAATAAAATAATAAAGCTTATAAGATTATACTAATTCTAAAATGATATACACTTTCTTTTATAAAGTTTATGAGCATCAACTATAGATTATTATTATGAGTGAGAGAGATATCAATGGGAAGTGAGAATACATTCTATATATATACTACAAAGATGAGTGAATGTTCTCACTTCACTTTCTAACAATGTGAGATGCATAAATCAGTCTTTATGAAAGATATCATAACTTTTCTATTAGTTGAATACAAATACAATTAAAGTATGATTTAATTAAACAATTTTTTGTATTAAACATTAAACAATTATAATAACAAAAAAGAAAGTGTGATATATCATATACTTATATCAGAAAAAAATAAGAAAAAATATGTGCTTTACTTACTAATTTATTAGTATAAATATATTTCATTCTATTCTTAATCTCAATTCATATTCTTGAAAATGTAAAATGAAAATGTAGATATCACTGTTATGTAAATTAAGCAAAATTAAAGTTTATTATATCACATATTAATAATATAAATTATTATAAAGAGATATTTAATAACTATTAGCATAATTATTTAAGTCATTACATTTGGAAGTTCATCATTATTATTATTGATCTATTTAACATTTATTACAATAGTATTCAAATTACGTTTTACAAATATTTCGTATATAATATGATACAAAATAAACAAAAAAATAAAATTATACCTTGTTTTCTCTGTCATAAGATGGTATGCATCTATGATTCAACTTGTTATTACTGCTTTGTGTAGAGTGAATACCTTATTATCAGTAAACGCTATATATTGACCAAAGTTCAAAAGATAAAAACTATTTTTCATACCTCTACATTTGGTAGTAGCATATAGAAAGTAGTATCTTAGTATAAGAAATGATTTGATATATTTTTAAATTATAGTTATATTATTATTATTAATATAAGCATTATAAATAAATTTCATTCCATATAATTATATCACATCAAAATCATAATTTCAGGAGCTTATCAACCTAGCAATGAAATTATGCTACGTTTTTATTCTTATTACAAACAAGCTACAGAAGGACCATGCCAGCAACCAAAACCAGGTTTTTGGGAGGTAATAAAAAAAGCAAAATGGGATGCTTGGCAACGTTTAGGCAATATGGGTCGTACAGAAGCTATGAACAATTATGTAGAAGAATTAAAAAAAGTATGTGAAAGTTTTAACATTTCATGCTTCTACAAAAACATATGACAATTTTTTTATTCTTATGGTATAGATAGTTGAAACTATGTCATATACAGACAATGTAGCAACATTTTTGGGTAGTTTGGATTCGTTTTATGAGAGTGTACCTGTTGAAGATTTAGAATTGCTTGTTGGACCAGTTTTAAATCGTATGCGCACACAGCCGACTTCACCATTGTCAGGTTCTCCTTTAGGTTTGTTTTTATTTTTACTTTAATATAATATTAATTTTTTTAAGTTATTTTAATATTTCTTTTTATGACATATATTTTTTTAAACTTATTTAGCATCTAGAGAAACATCGCCACATAGAGTTTGCAATACATCAAGACATATAACAAGTAGCTTAGAAACAAGTCCAGCTAGCAGTCACAGTGCAAGTCCTTTACCACCTGATACAGATGGTGAAGAAGAAGAATTTATTGATACAGTTGAAGTAAGTATTAAACGGTTTTTTCTTACAAAAATAAAAACAAATATTAATAACAAATTATTATATATATTTTTCACAGTCTGCTCCAGATCGAACACAAAAAGATGCCATAAAATCTGTAAACATTCAGAAAACAAGTATTACATTTAATACTTCAGATGATGATGCAAACAAGCAGCAAAGCACTACTAAGGGAAATTCATTAGAGTTAATTAATGGTCATGCTAAGACAAATGATCTTACTGAAATAAATGTAGATACGAAACAAGAAAGAGGTCGGCAAAGAATAAGAAAAGATGATAAAATAAATGCTGAATTTTTTAGCCAAATAGCATCAACAATGCAAAATTTACAACGAGATCTCGATCGAATAACCGCACGAGTACGCAGTTTAGAAGGTCAAGCTCTTCAAGCACTATCGCCTTTAAGAGTATGTTAAATATAAAAATATCATATAATAAATATATATTTATTGAGATATTGAGCTAACTTATATATAAATTATATGTTATAGGAGCAAAATAATAATCGATTTTATCCAAAATGGTGGCCTTTTCCAGAATGTTCGCCACGAATGTTTACTCTATTTATACTATGGCCATTTGTAGCACAAATTCTTATCTCTCTTACACAACGGTATCGTCAACGGAGACTGTGATTTTTTAATGTTTATATTATTATTAATCTGAATACTATGTTTATAATTAGGATACGTTAAACATATACAGAGATTATTATCATTTAATTCTATATATACGATATATTCTAAAGGCTATAATTCTAAAGAGAATTTGTTTATATGAATAAATTTTTCATGATATTTAATCAAGTTATAAACATAATAAGATTGAAAAAAATTTTAAGTGCAATATAAATAATTCTAAATATTAAAAATTAATCTTTTCAACATTCAATAGAAGTATACTTGTTCATTATATAAATAAATCCAAATTTTTAAAATATAATTCATGACAATAGTATATATATATAAAGATTTATAAAAAATGGTTTTTCATTCTTAGTATTTAATTAATCTCTGTATATCTATTTTTCATAAAGGTGTATGCAATTGGATTTACAGGTGAATTATGTTATATTTATACATTTCATAATATAATATATACATAAAAATTTTGTATTGTAAATGTAAACTATAAAGTTAGAATTATTATCCATATATACAGTACTTTTTTCTTGATTGTTCGTAAAATGATTTATGTGAACATTATTTTTTAATAAAAATTTGGAAATAATAACTTATTGATATAATTTAGTGCTTCCATGAGTATTACATTATTATAAGAAAAACATAAAACATTATACATGTGTCCACATGCAGCGCGCAGCATACGCACGTGCGCACACAGAATACACAGAGAGAGAGAGAAAGAGAAAATGCATATACTTTATATTTCAATTGTAGTTTATTTATTATTCTGACATCACTATACAAATATGACATCGATTATTGATTGGAGGAATTACCGATTTTTATAATTTTTTTATCTAAGTATAAAAGAAAAAAAATATTAATTTTATATACACATGATATATAAATATAACTTTTAAATATATTTTCAGATTGGCTCTTTAAACTTCATTACAAAATAAATTAAATAATGGATTCATAATGTAAGATAATTAACAATAAATTAATAAATGAATTTTGAAATTTCTTTAAATCCAATATCCAATAATTGAATTTTTTAAATATCCATTTTATAAAGAAATTTATTCATTATCAGCATTTTAAAATAATAATATAAATTAAGATATAAATATATATATTTTTATGAACTTACATATACAATTTGGAAGATTTATTTATGAAATGTTTTTACATATACACTGAATACTCAAGTTTTTATCTCATGTTTTTAATACAATCAAAAGACTAATACGACAAGTACTACATCAGATCACTATGATAAATTTCTTATTTGCTAAGTCACATATTCTGTGTATCATATCAATAATAATAATAATAATAATAATAATAATAATAATAATAATAATAATAATAATAATAATAATAATAATAATAATAATAATAATAATAATAATAATAATAATAATAATAATAATAATAATAATAATAATAATAATAATAATAATAATAATAATAATAAGAATAAGAATAATAATAATAATAGTAATAATAATAATAATAATAATAATAGTAATGATGATGATGATGATGATGATGATGATGATGATGATGATGATGATGATGATGATGATGATGATGATGATGATGATGATGATGATGATGATGATGATGATGATGATGATGATGATGATGATGATGATGATGATGATGATGATGATGATGATGATGATGATGATGATGATGATGATGATGATGATGATGATGATGATAATAATAATAATAATAATAATAATAATAATAATAATAATGATGATGATGATGATGTTATCATGATATTAATGATAATAGTAGGCAAATAATGAGAAAACAATTATCATTGCCTTAACCTTTCGCTCTGTAAATTCAAAAGAATTAACAATATTTATTTACTTTTAACTGCTTATTCATATAGCAAATCTTTCAGCAATCATTTCTCAGTATATCAATTACTCCTATTTTTTAATATTTTATAAACGTTTTTAAAGTATTGATAATTCTTCTGAAATCAGATATTAAAACTACATATTTTAAAATATTTCGTGCATATAAGTAAAATCAATTTCCAAATGTTTCTTAATATTCAAAAAGATACTATTTTTTATCTAACCTTTTACTTAATTATATTAAAAATTGTACGCACGCGTAAGGGTGTCTTATAGTTTCTATGCTTTTGTGAAATACAACATAACACATATCTTGGAATGAAAAGATATCATCCACAATAATTACGAACAATAATAATAATAGCAGTAGTAATAAACAGTATGTATGTGAAATACACGTTATTATTTAAGCCCGTTCGCCACGAATTCGTCGAGCCAATTGGATGTCCTTCGGCATAATAGTAACACGTTTAGCATGAATAGCGCACAAATTTGTGTCTTCAAATAATCCAACCAAATAAGCTTCAGACGCTTCTTGCAAAGCACCTATAGCTGCACTTTGAAAACGTAAATCAGTTTTGAAATCCTGTGCAATTTCACGGACTAATCTCTGGAATGGTAGTTTTCTAATTAACAACTCAGTAGATTTCTGATATCTTCTGATTTCTCGAAGAGCAACTGTACCCGGCCTAAAATAAACAAATGTAATTCCTTTAATAATTTTTTAAATGTATACTTGCGTGTGTGTGTTATATATAATTGAATTTTTATTTATACCTATAACGGTGAGGCTTTTTAACACCTCCTGTGGAAGGTGCACTTTTACGGGCTGCTTTTGTAGCTAATTGTTTGCGGGGAGCTTTCCCACCAGTTGATTTACGGGCTGTTTGCTTTGTACGTGCCATGATTTAATCTGGAAGAAAAATCATATATTATTAAAAACTAATTATGAAAAATTATAATATTTCATGACACACCCAAAACAACTTCTCTTTCCTTCTTGTGTACTTTTTATTATTCTATTTTTTCAATTTTCACACATTCATGATTATATTAATTTATAATACACAACTGCAATTAAATCCAACATATAGAAGCATTATAATATAAAGTATAAAAATGTTTTCAAAGAAAAAAATCTCTAAATTATTAAACAAAAAATAAAAATGAAAAGATTGGAGAGTAATGTTGTGTGAGCAGAACTTAAAACAATAGACAAAAGTTAAAACCACGATAATTGGCGGTAATGATTAAAGATCACAAAAATAGTCAGCGAAACATAACAAACAGTTGCGAGTAGAAACTGGTATAAACTGAAAAGCGATAGTCAATAGATGGTGGGGGAAGATCAGAGGAAAAGAAATTGTCGTAGTGGTGGGGTTTCATGTTTGGTGGGGGTAGGATCCGTTACCGTGCGCGCTCCGAGGAAGCACGCACGGAGGAACTCTGCGTTGCGCAATGGATGAACTTTCGTCCCTCGCTTGGTTTAGCGTGGAAAAGCCCACGCGCTGTCGATCGAAAAAAATCTTCGAGAATATGATCGCGAGAAAACTGACGAAAAAAGATTGTCAGTGAGAAAGTTTAAACACATCGACCATTGAAAATGTTAATAAGACTAAAGTGATCGAAATGAAGAGAAAGAAAGAAAATCAAGAGAAAGAGAAAGAAAGAGAGAGAGAGAAAGAGAGAGAGAGGCAAGAATTAGTTGGCGTACCAGTCAGGCTCGTGAACGATTCCTACTACAAAACGTCAATCGCAAAATGGAGGCAAGCTCTTGCGATAGGCTTCTTGTTAGTGCAGTCGAGAATTAAAATTTTTTTCTTTATCTTCGGGATGTCTTTCGACATAATCGATAGTATGACATTATCGCGCGAAAACACGAATACGTTCTGACACTTCGTAAAAATCAATTGAAAAGCATTTACTTACCCCTAGAAGGAAAATTTACGCAAGAAGCTGAGAGCCAACGCTATCCGCTTCCTTGTACTTCGATGGCAGTGGACGCTCTCCGAGTCACGGGCTCCCTTGTCCCTACCCCCTAGAAATTAAATTGCGAGAGGCACGTAAGCCCGCGGTACGTACCATCCAATCGGACGTTGGACGACGAATTTTGTCTTGTGATACGAGCTACCCGATTGGCTTATCTTCTTACGTTTAGAAAATACAAAGCTGTGAGCCTGTGACGATTTATTAACCACATACGCGTCTCTGGTTCGACATGTTACTCTTACTTTCTTACTTACTAACTACGACTATGATGATTCTAGAAAAGATAAGAAACTTTTTTCTTTACTACTACGTTGTTTTAAATTATAATTTTTTTATCGAAATAAATGAAATCGAATGAAGCGAAGAAAAAAGGGCGGAAAAAGAAAGTAAATACAGGATTTACTTTTTTCTTAATTAGCAGTTAGTTTCCAATCGGAAGCTACCCCTGTTGCTTGTATCACCGCCGATCTTTTAATGTGTAGGAGAAATCTGCGTACATTACCCCTTAATTTCATCATAGACATTGCGCAATGAGTGTATTAAACGAAATACATTCAAGATTGTAACATTTGTTTCTTTCAAAAAATGATGACACATGTTAAAGAAATACATATAATGCATTATGTTATGACATTACTCATCGCTAAAAAAAACCTATAAAAAAATTTGTTTCTTAATTTAAAATATTTCTTTTTCATTTAAAAGAAAAAGAGATTATGTAAACATGAAAATATCAAATCATAATTTATATGAAATAAACAAATTAATAGTTACATTTAAAATAAATGTAAAAAATAAGTTTTATGCCTAAATGTAATAATTTTTCTATACACTAGTAGGTTATTTATTTAAATTTTTATGCTTGTAATTACATGAAATTATAAATGTCTATAATCATGACAGTTAACCATAATAAAACACTAAGAAATACTCACTAATTTTATTATTATTATTATTATTATTATTATTATTATTACTATTACTATTATTATTATTATTATTATTATTACTATTATTAAACTAATATTTATGAAATGTAAATGCAAATCGAAATTTCCTTACGTAACAATATTGCTTACTAAAGAAATATTATACTTACAAAATTTTTTAATCTAATATTTCAATGAAATAGTAAGATACTTTCCAAACATAAATTTATGTTTCTTCCGACGCATTAAATGTATGAAAATTAAATTAACATGACAAATCTTGTAAGATTGTAAAAATATAAGTTTTCTATCATCCTAATCTTGATCTTCTACATATCAAAATGTTTTCTATCACTTATTGCTCGTGTGTAATGATATAAGTTTGATTACAAATACTAATCCACTATAATCATGTTCACATACCATAATTGGAGAAGTTAATTGTCTGTTATTGAAATTTAAATATTTATCAATAATTCATGTAATAGAACAGACAAACCTAGATTATATTTCTCCATTTATACTACTTATAGTGCTTGGCAGTGTAGACTCTAGTGAATATTTGTGGGAAGAACTGAATTGCAATGTATTTAATTACTTTGTAAGATAATGTCCCAGGACATGGTAATAAAATGAATTGAAATAAAAATTGCAAGTTGTTTGTAATTTAAGCACGTTCGCCACGAATTCTTCGTGCCAATTGAATATCTTTTGGCATGATAGTAACACGTTTAGCATGAATAGCACATAAATTTGTATCTTCAAATAATCCGACCAAATATGCTTCTGAAGCTTCTTGTAAGGCACCAATAGCCGCACTTTGGAAACGCAAATCAGTTTTAAAATCTTGTGCAATTTCACGAACCAATCGTTGAAATGGCAATTTTCTTATCAACAACTCGGTAGATTTTTGATATCTTCTGATTTCTCTAAGTGCTACAGTTCCAGGTCTAAAATAGAACAAAGTTATTAAATACAAAAATAAGAAAATAATTACATGTTGCTCGTACATTATAATGTTAATCAGTATATAGAGGACTTTATAATGCTTCTTTATTCATACCTGTAACGATGTGGTTTTTTTACACCTCCAGTAGAAGGTGCACTTTTACGAGCTGCCTTTGTTGCAAGTTGTTTTCTGGGTGCCTTTCCTCCAGTAGATTTACGAGCAGTTTGCTTTGTACGAGCCATGTTTTACTAAACTTACGGAATATTATTATATTATTCATTTCACAATAATTAGATATGTATATATGTGGGGTCAATATACCCCGTTGTTGACAAATGGCGTTAGTCGAAAAAATAAAGTAGAATCAATCGTCTTCACTCAAATATATGATTGCATCAATATATGACTCACAATTAATTATGACACATACACAAGTAGAATTACGATAATATGTATATGAATAACTAATTTTAATCAACTAAAAGTCGTTTTTGGTTTCCCTCCAAAAGCAGGCCGAATAAACAAAATGGCGAAAGGCGTACATGAAGTTTTCCTTGCGTGAAACTGTTCAGTATAAAGCAGACGTTCCGTATCAAGAAAATAAACATTCTCACGCGTAAATAACGATGCGTTACAGTTATTATTTATATCTATATTATCTACTATTTTCTGTGAAAAATAATAAATATACGTACTTGGTCGTTTTACACTGTTCTCCGAAGTTTAATAGAAATTTAGAGAATCTCTCAATAAGCGCTTTGTTAACTGAATGATATTTGACTACTCGACTACTCGACTACTCGACTACTCTACTCACTCTACTCACTCTACTCACTCCACTCTCTCGTAGCTTTGTACTACAGATCACATATAAATACAAAACTATAGCGTATGAAAGCAAGATTCACCGCTTACGATTGGTTGTGTACTATGTAGGGATGCAACAGCATCATCTTGTCTTCAACGAACGCTGTATATAATTGGTGTCTATTTCCGATATCGACCAATCAGCATCGTCTGCTGTGCCATAACGCTACATATCGATGCAAGATTTCGCTAGATGCATCTAAAGTGTTTTAGGTGCATTAAATGTTGTAACTATATATACAATAAACAGAAAGACGAATGAAATTATTACGTTTTTTTACCTTTTCATAGTTAAAAATTTGGAAGCCTTTAATTCGTAGTTTTTCAATGCATTATTTTTTAAATTAAAAAATGTATGAATAAAACTCATTTACTTATTTATAATCATTTAAAATTTATTTTAATACTGTATAAGTATTAAAACATTTGATAAAGTGCATATTGTAATAAACAAAACTAATTTCTTGTATCAGAAAGCATATAATCTGTTCATATTATACAAGCACAATCAATTTTTTAAACATTATAAGTAATTTATATTCATTGCATTTTTCATAAAAAAATGCATTTAATATATATTTTAAAGTATATTATAGAATAGTATAGTTTGATCATTAAAATATTTTTCTTTTTATAAGTATAGCTTAATAAATACAAATTAATAATATAAATAAAACCCCATATATATATATACCTTTTAGAAAATAATATTTTTTATTATAATGGTGAATTTATTTATCATTATGTACCCTTATATATCATCAATTACATTCTATTATTATGTATTAAACTATTATCAAAGTATTGAAATCAATGTATTAAACTATTTATCAACATAAAATACACTTTGTTAATTGTAATATAAATTTACAATATCTAGTGCAATATCAACACATAATTATCAATAAAATATGATAAAATTAGATGAAAGCTTCTTTGTGATTATATAAAATCTTGATTTTTACGTAAGGAAGAATTTAAAGAATTAAAGCATTGTTATTCATGTATTATTTTCAGATATACTTTTTGTAGAATTAAAATGAATTTATTACGACTTATTAGAAATGTACATTTGTCATTATAAATAGTCTATCATACCAATGCTTGAATTTTACTTATAACTATCATTTGACTCTTTATTTAATTATCACACCTATTTTTTGTAATGACAACGTTTCTATAAAATGTGACTCAATTAGATTTAAAATTATCACAATCAAAATAATTCTATTTAATCTTAGGATATTTTAGGAAAGTTTAGTGGAAGCATTAAAAGAAATAGAAATTATATATATGCGATCATTAGATACGAAATAGAATTATTCCTTAGTCAAGCAAGTTGAAGCTTAAGTTTAAATTATTTTAATAGTATATTGTTAATAATATATGTGCGTCTGTTAAGATTAAGCAATACGTTCATATGTATTAATATAATTCTCATACAAATTAAGTGTAACTTACACAGAGATTCTAAAAAAGGAACCTTTCTCATTTATGATAGCAATGGTAATAATAATCGATAATAATTTAGATAGGTTACAAGGCAATGTTATTTTTCAGACATATTATTTCAATGCTTCATAATATGAAAAAAGGACCTATTAATCCTAGTTCTTGATATAGTTTACTTTTTAAATAGTTATTTTTTCTGAATTATAAAGCTATACTTTCATTTTTGCAATTATTTTTTCATAACATGTAATTATGTTTATGTATCTCTGTGTAAGCTTTGCTTTATATTCAACATTAATCCCTGTATATATTAGGTGTATTCATATATTGTACCTGTATCAGGTACTGTGGACAAAAGGACGGTGAATATGTTAAAGCATAGTATTAAGAAAGTACATTGCAAATTAAAAATTAACCTTTTAGATAACCATAATATAAAAAAAGTTCTGTTTTCCGTGAAATTGATTTTAATATGAATATATATCACAATTTTATATTAAATAAAGCAAGAAATGTTTTTTTAATAATTTATAAAAGTTTTTGTAGAATTTTTTAAACTGACATGATACATTGTGAGACATATAGTCAGATTATATTATATATTCATAATATATCATAAAAATCATATTAATTTGTATTAGAATATTTGTTTCATTAGATCTTGTTATTTAATGAGAGATTTACAACAATAATAAAAAGTAGATATTTTTTCTTTAGTACTGCTGTAAGTGCATTAAAGAATATAAAAACTAAATAGGAACCTGATTTAATAATCCTTTATGTTCCATTATATGAATCTCTATAAATAATTATTAAAAACCACAATTCATAATGGACATGTGTTATACTAGAATACATGCGAATGTCTTGCATAGGGTTACATTATACACTCTAGTCTAATAAAATATATTATGTTTAACCAGACAAATTTTGGAATCTATGTTTAATATAAAATACTTTACTTCTTTACATTTACTCTCTTTTACCAGTAGGAAATATTAATGAATCCAAGATTGTATAGACTTGTACACACTGTATCACAAATTTAGATTGAGAGATTTATTAAAAACTCTTTTATGCAAAAAGTCCTTTGAACAGAATCTTCATTTTTCATAATTACTATAAATTTGTTTATTCTCTAAATTTATTTATTCTATAATAATTTGAATTTGGCGCATGTAGATTATCTAATAATTTCACATTATTTTTAATTTTTTTGTATATACAGCATTTAAGTGTATAATTATATAATTGGAAAACTACATGATTTTATATATATAGTTTTTAATTTGATTGCATCATATAATTTTCTTTATATTTATAACGAAGTTGAAAATCATTTGTAAAAGAATAATTGCCAAATATTTATCGAATATTTATGAATTATTATAATTTAGAATTACTTTGATAAAATTTAATGATAAAATATCTAATCAAAATGTACTTTAGATATTTTTATAACCGTTGTAATTTTTGTTTTTGTCACAAACATAGTATACTTTTATACTCAATTAATTAATCTTATATACTATATATTAATGTTTTCCATTTTCGTCAAATATTTTCAATTTATTTATATGTGCTCTATTAAAAGAGATATCATATTATAAACCATTATAGATTAATATTTAAAGATATTTGAAATGCAAATTTTGGTATTACAATACAAAAATATGTAACAAAATGCAATTTTAACAATAAATATCATCTTTTATCATTATCAATAAAATATCTCATAAAAAATGATACCTCAACATATAATCATTCTTGCAAACTGTAATGTTACGATTTTGTAATATACAGATTTTTAAAAATTACTATATTCTTACAAGGAGTATTGTATGTTATTTTTACTTTACACCATGTTTTTTGACATGAATTTGTCAACAAATAAAGAATTTATCGTTTAATTTTCTGTGTACAAAATTCACAACCCTTTACTAATAAATTAATATATAACTTAAAATACACCATTCATATTTGGAAATGTAATGTCACTTTTGAATAAAAAATGTATAATTTAGTCATTTCACTAATTCACTGATTAAAAATATTCGTAAATATCACAATGTTATCCTACCATTTCTTCACATATATCTATATCGTTAAGTCATTTTAGAAGATTCTATTCAAAAGCCAGATATATGACTGTATTTTAATTCAATAAATGTTTTTTCTAAGCAGATATTTTAAGCCTTATCAATAGAAGCATCCTTCATTATGTCATCTTTAGTAATGTTTTGGTTCATTTGATCATTTTCATATTCTACAAAATCATCAAATAAACTTGGCCATGCTTCTGCATCATCATAAGCACCAAGATCATCTCCAATGCTTTCAGCAAAATTTAGAAACATATTCCAAGTGTCTCTAGGTATACCTCGAACATGATGACATTCAAGAAATTTTAACCATCTTGTTAAAAGTGGAGGTTCTCGAATTGTAAAAACAAGTCGCCAAAGGACAATAGCCATATCAGCTGGCAGTATTCGTTGACCAGAGGTAACATCCAAACCAAAGCGGAATGTGAATCGATAGAGATCCTTAAATAAATCACTATTGACTGTTAACTCTTGCACAATTTCAGGTAATCTTGCCTGAATACCACGTATACTGTCAACACGCATAGCTTTCAACCCTGTTATAAATTCTTGACGGGTAAATTGGCACATTTGTTCAGCATTTAATTTCCAAGCTAGAACAAGTACTTTAAATTCATCTGGAAATAGTTGCAAATCATTGCAAAGCCTTTCTATTCCATCAGCTAATATTACATCTTCATGTAAATCCTTTAAAAGAAACAAATGATTTGAAATAAATTAAATATAGAACCTTATATTTTCATAGGTTTTATAAATATACCTTATATTGGTCAAACAATCCATTCAATTTGCTTTCTGACGGTTCTCGTTGCTGTTTAAATTCTGTGGTTAAGTTAAGACCTGAAGAAGTGCCTGAACGACCTAGTGGAGGTAATCGTGCATAAAATCCTCGAGACAAACGTAAGTTATTTTGTATACTAGGCATGGATCCACAGTTATCTGACCCTACATTATTAAGCATAGGTACAGTATTTAATGATTTCTTGTTTCCATTGACATGTGTTTCTGCAGGCACGAGTGTACCAGTTTGTTGGCAAGAATTTGGGAATAATCCTCTTAGTTCCATTGTTTCTGTATTAAAATAAATTCTTAGGATAGTTATTTATCAAATTATATCAATTTTATTTTTACATTATGAAGAAGCTACCGTCTTTATGTTCCAATACAATTGATTGTTCCGTAGCGACTGGTGGAAGTGGCACCTTGAAACAAGAAAAACAGTTTCCCATTGATGCTGTCCGTACTCGACATTAAAGATAATTATCCCATGCATCAGTAATTCAGTCTTAGATTGGCAGTCTTGATATAAAAAGCTAGAAAATATAAGATTTTCATATAAAAATATTGATAGTATACATTAATATATGCACATATAATTTATTACAAATTTTGACAAAGTCTTTTGTACATATATTCTTTATGGCAATACTTAATATATATGCTTATATTAATACAGAAATATAAATACATAGGAAATAAATATAGATTTTCGCAAAAATGTGGATACTTCATTAATATTTGAAATAGATATTTATTGTATGAAAAGAATAGAGAGAAAAATAATATAAGTGGATACCTTCTCAGTAAGGCGGCTTTTTGGTCTAGTCAGATTTTGGTAATCCCAGCCAAGACCCCCCGCAAGATGATCTTTTGCTTTGACCACATTCATAAAGTGTCACAAATAAGATGTACTTGTACGCACTAATAGAGATCAACAAGACGTATTCGTCCTAATATTTCCATGCATTTCGTTCACATGACTTCTCGGTCGTATTCGCATTTGATCAAGTGCCACTGTCATTTGTAACAATGTAACCTTGCTTAATACGGTGCACACTCAATTTGATACACGACGGTGATAATTTCATTCCACGCACGGAACACTCACTTTTGTTAAATTAATCTAGAACTAATATGGCCGCTTACCGGGAGAAACATGAATTACTATTGACCAATAGAAATATTAAAGAAAAAATAAAGCTAGATAAAGCACTATTTTGGAAAGAGTATTATTCGAGAGTATATTTTCAAAAAAGAATACAACATAATCTTGTCATTGGTGAAGAGTTCTAAAAGTCATTTTTTAGTTACGAAAAACAAATTGTAAGCATAAGAATGATTGGATAACTTTCAATTCTTTGGTCTTTGATTTAAACACAAGATTTCTTTGTACATTATTCTACGCATACAGAAATTTCATGTAGAGAAATAACCCTAGAAATTTCAACAATTGTTAGTCAAATGTAAAACCATTTATTTTCTTTTTAGATCAGCATATGGAGAAGTAATAATTGAAATTGGAATATGTTATTAATTTGTTATTATTCGGTTAAAGTAAAATAATTGGAATTTACTCGTCCTATATATGAATTTTTACAAAATAAACATTATTTGCTGATTTGAACACGTTTGTAGAAATTATTAATATGGCAGAAATTCGTGTATCTAGTGTTGTTTAAGCTGTGAAACTAATTGACAAAACAGTAATCTATTACTAAAGAGTGCTGTGATGTGTACAAAGTCGTGAATTTTCTGGTCCCGTCCATGTGAAAGTCTCTTTTTTGTGAAAAAAACTGATTATAATAATATCTTCGTATCACATTCATTCCAAGTCAACATCGAAGTTTTTGTGTTTTTTTTCCTTACGTTCATCTACTTTGTTTATTATGAATTTGATTGTATTCTGCCCTCAGTGACATACAATCAGATTAAGTACAACAGGTAACAGTCTCAAAGTCTTTTTTATTATTCTCACATTTTCATATTGCATGGATTATAACCTGCTTATTTCTTTGTGCTTGTCAACGGAATCTTGACTTGATACTATTAAAACGAATAATTCCAGAATATTTTTCAAAATATTCAAATCTTTGTTCTTATAAATACGCTGAAGATTTGGAATATTTAAAAAATAATATTTTATGTATTCATTAAAATATTATGTGAATGATTCCTTGTATGCGTTACATACTGGACAAAAACAGATCAATGAATGAGAAAAATTATATTCATCAATAAACATTTTGATATTTCAATCTTTATCATTATTTCTCATATTAAGCTATAATAAACAGTTTGTAATTAATATGTTTTAGTCTTTGCTTCATTATTACAGGTTATTACAACGAGATATTGTCATGGATCTTCATGGATCCCATGCAATTGCACAACTTGTGTGTCACAGTATACAAACAAAGTGGTTGTGGTAATTGACATAAAGCAAAAGTGTGTTGGTGTGCCCTGGCAGGTATTATATATTGGAGCCACTGGGCTATGGCCAACCTGAATTTTGAGCAGCCTCCACGCAGTATTGCGAATACAAGCCTTACTTCGCGCGCGGGTGGTGGGGGGGGCTTAAATTCATCGACCCTTGCGGGTCATGTCACGCCCACATCGGGCATGTTCTCAGGCTCATCTGCAAGTACCTCAAGCACAGCGAACTCTGTGGTAGTGGTTACCAACGTTTATCCTAGTGCATCAGGATCAGGAAGCACGCAGACCAATCATCAATCCCAACAACAACAGCTCTCTCCTATGAGTAGTAGAGGGCTGTTTGGACAAAGGGCTTTCACAGATAGACGTACAATGCCTGCTCTTGGGTAAGTTTACTGACAGATTATAAAAATAAAATAGATGTATTAATTGATATATCACTATTATAACTGATTTATTTTTTGGTAATATCTCATGTCTTCTGTCTGTATAGAAAATATTTCATAGCGTTCTTCTACTGATAATACAAATAAATACTTTGATCAAAGAACAAATTGAAAAAAGAAATTATATTCTGTATTAATCATTTCAAATACTTATGTATTTCAAATTTCAAATTTCAAATTTCAAATTTCAAATTTCAAATTTTTAGTGTATTAAAAGTGAAAATATTTATATTTTTAATATGCAGATAGTATATAAGTGTTACTTTACAGAACCTCAAATCCAATGGGTAGTATGGGCAGTTTTGGTATACCTCCAAGTCGCAACTACGGATCTCAAGGTGCGATTAATAATTTCCATTCTGTGTTTGGAAGTGGTGGAGGTGGAGATACAAGTACACCCCCTCTATTAGATCTTTCGGAATTTCCATCTTTGACAAATAGAGGTCAGGGTGATTCCATGCCCCAACCTAGTCCCATGCCTGGAAAACAACCTTATGGTTAGTGTTCATTAGATGATAAATTAGGAATAACTCTACTGTACATTTATGTAAAAAATACTGAAAATGTATATCACAAAATAATGTAAATAATAATTTTATGCATTCATAGAAATACATTTTTTAAATATTACCAATATTCCTAAAATACAAATTATTTTGTATATTTTCATATAATTTTTATACAAAAAGATTTATGTAAAAATAACTTTTATTATTTTATATTATAGTTGGAATGGTAAAGCAACCAACATCAGAGTCGAGTGAATTTACTATGAGTTCAGAAGATTTTCCTGCTTTACCAGGCACACAAAACAGAGAAGGCCCATCACCAGGTGGAAGTGTTTCTGGAGATAAAAGTATATCCGTTGGTCTAGGTCCCGAAATTGGCCAGGATGTATTGCAAGCAAACAGAGCACCTGGATCTGAAAAATCTCAGTCATCTAAAAGAGGCATTCAAACATCCCCAGATGGTAAACAAAGAATCTCGATGTAAAGTGAATTTATCATTGTTAGCTTATAAATTCTTTAAATTAATTATTGTTTTATTTACAAATTTTCTTTTATTAATTATTGTTATGTGATTCTTATCACATGATAATTATGACATACATGTAATATAAAATTTTAATAAATTTCTTTTTTGTATAATTTTATCAAATTTTTTTTATAGGGAAGGTGACAAATATACCTGCGAGTATGGTAAAAGATCAATTTGGAATGGTTGGTCTCTTAACTTTTATCAGAGCAGCAGAAACGGATCCAAATTTAGTATCTTTGGCATTAGGACAAGATCTTACAGCATTAGGATTGAATTTGAATTCTCCTGAAAATTTATATCAAAATTTTGGTGGTCCTTGGGCAGAAACACCATGTAGACCACAAGATATCGACTTTCATGTACCACCAGAATATCTTATTAATGCAGCAATCAGGTAGTATTTTAATTGTTATAATATTAAATATATTTTGTACGATTTGTAGTTCGAAGTGTAGATTTTGGAATACAGTTTTTTATCTTTTATACTTTAACACTTAGATACTTTGATTATATTTTTAAGATATATTGAATTGTTTGCCTCTTTATTTTAATCATATGTAATGCATTTTTAGGGATAAGTTAGCACCAGTTAAACTAAATCGATACAAAGATGATCTACTATTTTATATGTTTTATACAAATGTCGGGGATGTCCTCCAACTGGCAGCTGCAGCAGAATTGTAAGTAAAGCAGAAGTATCATATCAAATAATTTGAAAATATTGAAAAAACACTATGCAAGTATATTTTGACTTCGTACTATTAAGGTACAGCAGGGAATGGAGATATCACATGGAGGAGAAAGTGTGGATTACTCAAGCACCTGGATTAGGACTTGTAGAAAAAACATCGACATACGAACGTGGTACTTACTATTATTTTGATGCACAAAACTGGAGGAAGGTAGCTAAGGAATTCCATCTGGATTATACAAAACTAGAAAGTAGACCTCATCTTCCCACAAACTTTCATCAAACCCAGCCTTGACTACAGGTATGGAATAAATTTGCATTGTCTCTTATAGTGATTATAGATAAACATTAAATGTGAATGCGTGTATGAACGTATGCATGTGTATAAATTTTTGCTCTTTAGATGTAAATAAAATATAAAACAAGAATTTTTTTTAAATAATTAAAAAATTATTTATTATTTTGTTTTAGATCTGCCTGCAGACCTTTGTGCTGTCTTTAAGCTGGAAAAGAATCAGCTATTGTATAAATGAACAAATTTAATAATCTTTAATAAAAATATAAAATTTGAAGAGTAATAAAATCTTCTTTGTTAAGAATTTCGATCCTATTGGCAATATCATACATCATTATTTAAATGATTTGTTTAGTATGTTATGATATTTTTTAGATATCTTTATCAAGTGACATTCTTATTTGTTTTTGTTTGTGTCACAAGGTTGATTATATTTTCGGAAGCATTTATGAAATAGTTTTCAATGTAATTTCGACTATTATTTTCACATTCGTTCAAATAATATCTAAAAATATAAAAAATTATGTTAATATTATTTTTACATAATTTTTTTTTCATAAAAATATAATTTATTAAAATGTTACCTGTAATTTACCATTATGCCACAACTATTCGCAATACCTCGTGGTGAAGGATCAGCCATCCAATTTATTCTCCACATAATCGCACCATTACGCAAGTGAAAATTTGCTATGACAAAATGTGATAAAAAATTAAAATCAATACAAGAATATTCTGTGTTACAAAATACATACCAACGTTATTTAAGGCATAACTACGACGTTTTTCTTTATACAAGTACCATGCACTTGCTCGAAGTAATGGCTTTTTAAGTAATTCTGATAATTGCTCGTCAGTTATCCACAACGAATTATTAAAAAGATTTTTTAACGTTGTAAATATATCTTCTGATTGAAGAATTTTTTGTATAGTTTCTTGCTCCTTCAACGTAAATATGAAAGATATGTCTATAACAAAAAGGGATATTTATTTACATACATAAATATGTATATATATGCCAACAAAATTTCACCCTTACCTTGTTTCATCTTTTCCAATAGCCATATCCTAAAATTAGGAATAGGAGACAAACTAGATAATTCATTTATCATCGGAAATTCTGTAACCACTTGATTAGCTACCTCTTTAATTAGATAATTACCTAATTCAATACCCTAAAAAATTTTAGATTTATAGTAATACCTATTTTTTAAATAATCAACATTTAAAATATGTTTTTACTTGCAAGCCTTTTTGAGTGGATGCTATCGAATAAAATATTGCTGCTGTTATTTTTGATTTATCTTCTTCTAAATATGTTACTTGTGTTCCTACTCTTCCCAGAATTCTCTGTTCTGCTTCTTCAATTCCTTTTACGGTATCTGCAAATATATATATAATTATTCACTTATAATAATGATGGTTAAAAATATAGTGCGTATATAGTAGACAATAAAGCACTAAATTTACTTGGTATAGTATCACACAATGCTGTGTGTAATACAACAAGAGGTTCTCTTGGCATAGATGGATGCATAAATATATAACATCTTCTATATGGTCCAACTCTTCGTTTTAAGTCTACCCAATTTCTTATTGGATGTATTGCTTCATAATCTGAAACCTTATCATTAAAAATAAATACATATAAAATTAATATATAAATTTTATTATTCATATATTTCACATACATATACCTTTTGTAATATATCACAAGAGGTCTCCCATGTTATTCGTTCTAAATGTAAAAATCCTACTGAAAACCATAATAGTAATAAATCTTTAAGTGTAAGATTTAGTTGCTGCATCACAAAATTCTTGTTGCTGTCACTTGTTTCTGATATCAATTCCTAATAAAATCTTTATGTTACTGTTACATTATAGAACTATTTATTCTTTAATACTTACTAAAATGTCTGTTCTTAGATCAACTAAAAATTTTACGCCGTGTTTAAGACGTCCCATGATAATAAATAACCATTGATACGGTGGTATAAGAATACTTTTTAAAATTCTTTCATGAACAATCATTTGCCTTTCATTATTCAACTATAACAAAAAAGATATATAATTCTGTATATGATTTATAATTAAATAATAAATTTATGAACAATTAATAATTTGCACATACGTGTGTACAAAGTTTTCTTGCATTTTCTAATACACTATCATGTTTAATCGCATAATTTACAGCTAGCACTTGTAAAATATGTTGTTTCTGTTTTTTTTCACTTTCTATATATGTATGGCATAGATTCCGTACTTTATTCTGTAATAAATATATTTACTAATTATATAATTTCTTTTATAATCTTATTCGATTTGTATTATGATATATTAACCTCCACAATCCATGTACTAATATTAGAATTTTTTAATTTAAAAATTTCCTTTAATTGTTCTTCAATATGTACATTGAAATTAGCATTAGTACATAAAAATGAATTATTAAACAAACTTTGTGAAGAACGATATAAAATTAATTTAAACGTATGTGTACATTTTATGAGAATCCTTAAACGTTGTATTTGATATAACATGGTATAATTTATGAGGTGTAATTTATTTCAAATTTTCTCTTTTCTGCCTTGATTTTTTAAAAGATTAATAATACGTGAAAATAAACACTTTATTCCACAGTTATTTCGCGAATTGATACATACTAATAATCAAAAAATAAATATATTTGTTCCTTTTCGACTTAACATGTCTAAAATTAATGCAGAGTCATATCTTATTTAATATTTTCATTATACGAATTAATGTAATAGTGTGAAAATATATTACAAAATTTTGGATCAAGAAAAATTTGAATGAATAGTTTGTTAATATGATAATTAAATTTTTTTATAATTTTAATTCATTAAAAATGTTCAAACGTTTTTTTTTATTACGATAAGGTAATATTTTTAACAAATTTTTTATATTATATTTTTTAGCAATTATAAATCCCGCCAAATTTTGTAATTATAGGTATGTACATATAAAACCGCTTAGTTTACAATTACGAATACGATGTTATATAGTGAATACCTGATTGGTCAGTATTTATCGAATGAAATTGTACTAAATCAGTGTTATCCGATAAATTTTCAAATTCTTCCTAGAGACATTTTCTTATCACCATGAGTATATAAGGAAGGTTACTATAGCATTTCCTCCATTTACTTCGTTCGTTCCGTCATGGTAAGTTTCAAGGCAGTTTGATCAAAATTTGGATCAATATATATTTATTGCATCTCAACAAATTCTAAATAATTTGTCTTAATATAATATTTACAAATGCATTATTTATGTTCTGTGTATACTATTAACTAATTTATAGTTAGATTAAATATCGTATAGACCACATTTCGTATCATATATAATTTACTACTCCATCAGCACATGTTACAAAAATTGTATAATTTCATATGATGATTTAGAAATTAATGTTTATGGTTTATATCTGAAAAATCATGAAGATATTATTCTAGGGCGGTCTGAATTTATGTTAGAAAAGAAAATGAAGAATTTCAATGTATTACGTATCTAATATCTGATTGTTTCTTTTTTTTTTTTTTTTTTAAGTCACACAGGAAATTCAGTGCTCCTCGCCATGGGTCTATGGGATTTTACCCAAAAAAGAGATCCCAACGGCATCGAGGGAAGGTTAAGGCTTTTCCTAAAGATGATCCAAACAAACCTGTTCACTTAACGGCTTTTGTTGGATATAAAGCTGGTATGACGCATGTTGTTCGCGAAGCTGATAGACCCGGATCAAGTAAGTTGTTGTAAGGATGATATATATATATAAGATATATAAAAAATATATATTTTTATTCTGCTACACTCCGCGACAAAAAATTAGGACACTATATGAATATTATTTTTTAATCTTTGAAGTAATATGCTAGTTTTAGCATTTATAGTGATCAATAATAGTAATAAGTTATTTCAATACATTTAAACATCTATTACAAGAGGAAATCATTTTATTATACAATATGTATCCAAAAACGAAATACCGGTGCATCAAAAGGATAGCACAAATTCCTTAAAATACCTTAAAAGTAAGCATTTATATAAAGTAATATTATTTCAATATTTTGTAGCTCCACCTTTTACTGATATAACAACTAATAAAAGTCTAGGTATAGATTTAAATAATTTGTTAACAAACTTTTTGATTAATGATGTCCAGTTTCGTTCGATGTAATCTTATAATTATTAAAAAGTACGAAATCGTCTTCCCCAGTATATATTGATTTGGCTAAATGTGCTTAGTATTTTTCAATAATATTTGAGTCTGGTGATCTGGCTGGCCATTCTAAAATTGTTCTTATCGTCTTTGCAGTGTGGATACTTGCATTATCTTATTGAAAAACAAAATTTATCCGCAATTTCTATAGCATGTCTTTTCAACTGTTATCTATTAAAGTAATGTAATTTGAATTATTCATTTTTCCACTTATAAACTTAATTTCAGTGTTTCCATGGTACCCAATTCCAGCTCACATCATTACTCCTCTACCACCTAATTTAAACAATTTAAAATCTATTGTTCCTTACGCAAATCATGGAAATAATAACAATAACCATAAGGTCCATCCAATGCAAATCTCTTTTCATCGCTAAAAGTAACTTCTCTCCATTTCTTCTTCCAATGAATATATTTCTCAGCAAAATGTAATCGAGCTTCTTTATATTGCGTCGTTAGTATGCACTGTACTTTAGCATTGTACATTACATTGTATTTTGGTATTTACTCCAGCTGTTGCTGCAATTTCTTTTGCGATACCAGCAAAATTTGATGCAATTAAAATTGCACGTCGCTGATGATCGGTTGTCGCTTTTCAGCGACCTGTACTTTTTTCCATATTTGTCTAAATTTCTTAAGAAATTATAAACAACTGCAATTATGATTCAATAGTTTTGCAATTTTTCCAATAGAACAATTTTTTTTATGTAAATTTTGAATTGTTATTTCACTAATATTGAATTTCTTATCACGATCCATTTTCGGAAATCTCGAAATATTTCAATAGTAGAACGCGCACAGTATTAAATATACTTAGCATATTAAATATAATATAGTTTATGCATACAGTATGAAGACTTTGTAGTAACTGGAGAAGGAAAAATTTTTCAGGTGTTATTATTTTGACGCAACGGTCAGCAATAATGTTCATGTTTTCAACTTTAGCTTAAGCCAGTATACAAAAGCGAAGTGTTTACCCTGAACACGTGCAATCTATTATTGATTGAAAACTGATATATAACACTGGAATTGTTATTCAACTATATTTGTGTAAATCAACAAAATTGCACAGTGTGCTATCTTTTTGTCATGGAGTGTATTAATAATAGTCTTTGTAATTTGTATTCTTTTGTTTATATTTTTTTTATCGACATTTTCCATTATCTGATAGATACAGAAATGTATCAGTCAGTTTTGGTAGCGATCCAAGAGCTGCTTGATCTTGTGCAGTATATTCTTATCTGCAATGTCGTAAATCAACTCTGTCCTCTATATTTGTAGAAATGTATGGAAGCACGACATATTCCATAAGCTCTTTGTAGCCCATTGGGCAATGACAATTGAGACAAACCATGTCTGGCACAAATTTTTTTTAAACTGCAAGAGAAATATTGTTATTAAATATAAAGTACTTGTGTGTAAATTTTAATATTTATACTTTTTCTTATAGAGGTAAATAAGAAAGAAATTGTAGAAGCAGTTACAATTCTAGAAACACCACCAATGATTGTTGTTGGTGTTGTTGGGTATATTGAAACCCCACATGGTCTTCGTGCACTCACAACAGTATGGGCAGAACATCTTTCCGAAGATTGTCGTAGACGTTTCTACAAAAACTGGTATGATTATAAGACTTGTAATTTTATTAATATATATATTTTATCAAATTTGAATTAAAGTTATCTTCAAATCAGCTCTCCGCTCATTAGATGAGAGCAATGTTTCGGATATAGCCACTGACCTGTATAATGGCTTGTTTTTCGGCTTATCTGACAAATGTGTTCAATCTCCGCTCATTTTGAAGAGATCGACACGTTACAGGTGGATAGTGGATGCGCACATAGAAACATAGAAAGGAATTTTTATTACTTCTGTGCAGGTACAAGAGTAAGAAGAAGGCTTTCACTAAAGCTTCTAAAAAATGGCAAGATGATCTTGGTCGTAAATCAATAGAGAAAGATTTTAAGAAAATTATGAAATACTGTAAAGTCGTTCGCATTATTGCTCATACACAGGTAATGTTTTTATATATTTAAAATATTTTTAGAATTATGTAGAAATAGCCAATTTTTAACAAAATATACTATTTAAATAGATGAAATTATTAAGACAACGCCAGAAGAAAGCTCATATTATGGAGATTCAATTAAATGGAGGAACTATTGACCAAAAGGTTCAATGGGCTCGTGAACATTTGGAAAAACCTGTACCTGTTAGTAATGTATTTGCACCAGATGAGATGATAGATGTAATTGGAGTTACTAAAGGAAAAGGATATAAAGGTATGTTATCTGAATATGCGTACATTCTTCCATGATCACATTAATAAATTATATCATTAAATTAATTTATAACTAATTACACTTTGGACTGTGATGACAAAGCATGATGTGTCGTTATCTGATAATCTGAAGATACCATCATGTTGCTGCCTTCCTTCTGACGTCCTTTATTTTAATCACGATTTAATTTCAAATATGCTTATGATATCTATATTTTCATATATATTTATTCTTCTAAAGATAGTATATTTTCTATTAACAGGTGTTACATCTCGTTGGCATACCAAGAAGTTGCCACGCAAAACTCACAAAGGTTTAAGGAAAGTGGCTTGTATTGGTGCATGGCATCCAAGCCGCGTTTCATTTACTGTTGCACGAGCTGGACAAAAGGGATACCATCATCGCACCGAAATGAATAAAAAAATATATCGCATTGGTCAAGGCATACACACAAAGGATGGCAAGGTAATTTTTTTCATTTTTATTAAGGAAGCCAAATTTTAATCTGATATTGCCCATTTCTTCGTAATAGCCTTTCTTTTTGATGGAAATGTCGTTGCGTATTATTAAAAAATGGGCGATAATAATGATTTCTCGTCATAGTACCTAGAGTATTATTATATTTTAGGTCTCCAATGAAAACAACAATTTTATATAAAAATAATCTTCATTTCAAAATATATGAATAATTGTTGATTATGTGATTACTTAATAAAGTATTTTATTACAGATCATTAAAAACAATGCTTCAACGGAGTATGATCTTACTGAAAAAACCATTACTCCTATGGGTGGTTTTCCACACTATGGTGAAGTCAATAATGACTTCATTATGATAAAAGGTTGTTGTATGGGACCAAAGAAACGTGTAATTACGCTGCGTAAGGTAAACGGCACGATATTGCTTATGTAAAACTAAATGTAGTTTAATATGATGAGAGATACTTTGAGCCAAATAATTATTGACAAACATGATATATAATGATAGGACTGATGATTAATATATTAATGATAAGAAAGTTTTATTTTTTATCATCATAAGTAAAATAACTTATTACTTTTCCAGTCTTTATTGATTCACACGAAACGGTCCGCTTTGGAAAAGATCAATCTGAAATTCATCGATACAAGTTCGAAGTTTGGACACGGTCGTTTCCAGACAGCTGCGGACAAGATATCCTTTATGGGTCAACTCAAGAAAGATCGCCTTCGAGAGGAGCAAGCTCAAACCACTGCTACGGCACCTGCAACTGCAAGTGCGCAGTAAAATTATTTGGGTTATGCATTGTGATCAAAATAAAATGATATAAATCATTTAAGAAATTGTTATTATTTAAATCTTAAAGTATCCTGTATTTTATCACCTCTATATTTTGCGAAAATATATCATTTGTAGAATGTTCGAACAAATAAATTTGTAAAGATTATGAATCTGCTACACTATGCATATGATAAAATTTATGTACATGTTTGATTTGATAATATATAAGAAAAAATTTTGTATTAAAAAATATTGAGCTTCATCTTGTTTACGAAGAGTACCAAATATTTTGTTCGGTTTTGATAGATTTTGGCTAACGAAACGTCTATTCTGCTCCTTCCACGCTATCAAGCAGTGACAGACTGCAGAGGGAGTTCGCGCGTATAAATTGACTGATAGAACATTACTGACGTATACGGTGCTTTCTAATTTTCTAAATTCATCAAGATGTGGAAAAAACATGAATTTTTGTGAAATTGTTGATCAAAGATTATTATGGAGTTTAAAAGGTTTGTAAAAGTTATGAAAAATACCTACGAGTTTGCATATTGATTTGTTGCAAAATCTCGCTTATATTTATTTTTTGTTTTAATTCACCTTTTTAATGGATATATTTTCGATGATTTTTCGTTAGAATACATTTCTTAAAATTCTTTTAGAAGCACTTTAAAAAATTGTTCTAAAATTTATATTAAAAAAAAAGAACCTAAAAACACGTACAATCTGTAATAGTTACTACAAAACTTGTACTTTTATAAAAAAAAAGAACGAAAACGGAGGACATCAATGACAAAATGAATGTTACTCATTTCATAAGTTTCCTTAGAAAACTAGAAATTTTCTTAAACTTCAATCGACTAATATCGACTAATCTCTTTGAAATTAGAATCTTTTAGAATTTTAGAACTTCGGTCTTTTAGAATTTTTTAGAATCCTTTGGAATTAGTCAATAATTGGTTCTATTCCGACAAATTCGAGTGTCTACTTTTATCTAATTGATTATATATGGTTCTTAAGTAAAACATTCATATCGATCATGTAGATCAGCAAATGTATGATTTACGGTCATCTCATAAGTTTACTATAATAATTCAATTTCTTTGTTTTTTTGCTATTGGTACTGATGTACTTTTTAATGTTAATAGAAACGGTCTATGACGTTTTGATATATCAATTGCTTATTGTGCAAACATTAAAAAAGTCTTTAAGTAAATAAATTTTTATATTATCCATTTCATCAATAAATTAAAAGATTTTTTATTATAACAATGTACTAAAATCACTTTTGCTCGTTTGTAAAGAATTTTCTAAAGATATCTTTCAAAATTCGTGATTCGAAGTTTTTATTGTCTTCTGGATCTCTTTGAATCTGCTATTAATATGAAAGAAAAAAATAAATATCAATGCGAATGGGAAGAAACGTTCATCGACCTAGGATTATCCCGTATGATTATTCAGAAAACGATTGAAATTTACTTTTTTCTCTTATTTTTTTTCGTCACATTTTATGAGAATATTTATTCGAAAAAATGATCCTAATCAAGTCATTGAAAACTATGAATGTTTACTAATAAAAAGAATTTTGAAGAATGTTAGGTTGTTAAAAAAAATTTTATTTTAAAAAATAAATAATTATGTTCCTTTTTTTTTTACTTTATATAATTCAAATTTAAGAATTATAAGTGAGTTGAGAAGAGTAAGATCTTTCTAATTTTCGAGTCATTATGATCACAGATGATCAATTAGAAGTGTTTAAATGCGTGAAATCCTATTGCATGAAGAGACATGCATATCGCACGGAACGTAGAGATGATATTGGATTCCTTTTTTTAAGATAATCTTCTAAATAATATCTAATTATGAATACAAGCCAATAAGCAAGTATAATTTTTATAAACGATTATAACTTTCTTGCTTTTTCAAAAATATCGAGTTCATTAACTTTCCTTTTTTTGAACAAATGAAAAAAACAAAAAGGAAAATAATCTTCGAATCGTCTAAAATAAATTTTACTCTTTCTTACTACTTTTTATTTTTTTCTTCTTTTTTTCTGATGTTAGCAGAGCTATTTATTCGTAAATATTTTTTTTTATAATTAATAATTAATTCATTATTTCACACATTACATTATCAATCGATCTATATCTTTTAAATAGCAATCATATAATCTCTTTCGAAACTCTTTATGTTAATTATTCCAATTATTAGTCATATACCAATTAATCTATACATTAACAGAAATTGGCAAATAATTTAAAAGAAAAAAATGATTATTAATAGATCCGATATATGCCGTTCAATAAATTAAAAATATATACATATAAGTTATCTAATAATAATAATTAGAAGAAAATAAAAAATAAAGAAATATTTTAAAATATTGAACAATTTTGCTCTATTTCTCTCCCATTAGTATAACTATTATGTTTTGATAAGAAATAATATGATTAAAACTAAACGTTCTTGTATATTTGTAAGTTAAAAAGAAATATAAAAATATAGGATAACTTAACGTTAAGTGGTTTCATCTTCTGTAAACTTGGTTATAATATTTTGTAATGTTTCAGTCGATCTATTAAAATCTTAAAAATGTGACTCAAAGAAGCGGAAGAAGAAAAAGAAGTGTATTAATATAAGAATGAATAGTAAAATAAGTAATATGATCATGACATATTTAATATTAGTATTCATCATTTTCATCGACTTTTGACCGTACAATAATGAAACATTAGGTACGACCAATTGGACAGAAGAAATAATGAGACATACATTACCGATGTATGCGATGCTGTCGAAAACATCTATTAAATTTAACGAGATGTGGTAAAGAACTGAAAGATCTTCAAGAACCCATAGATCAACGATTATTTAATGGGTTAAAAGATTTGTGAAAGTTACGAAAAATATTAATGAGTTTGTATTCATTCATTTGACACAAAAGTTACTTATTTCTATTTTGTCTATTTTTTGGGTTTATGTTTTTAATAAACAACTTTTCCATTATATTCAGAACATTAATTTAAAAAAAAAAAAGAAAAATTAAAAAAATATACAGTACACAATAATTATTAAAAGTCATGTACTTTTGACAAAAAAGAAAAATAATTTAACAGAACAAAAAATGAGATTCAAGGAACGTTTGGACGATACCAATTAGTTACGACTGATTTCATAAGTTTCCTTAGAGAAAATAAAAATTTTCTTAGATTTTAATCAACTAATCTTTTTGAAATAAGATATTAAACAATCTAATAGAGTGTTGTTATCAATATAAAAATATTGAATGATCAAGAGATAACAGTGTATGACTTGGAACTAGTACATGGCAAACGACATGCAGTTCTTTGCAATTAACACATTACTGCTGACGTTATCTTCGATGTAAATATGTTATCTTTGTTTTTCTAATTTTCATAAAAAATTTTACGAAACAAGGCAATATTTCATACTCTATCGATAAATTGTTTGCCTATTGTTTGACGTACCTAGATAATGTAGAAAAGTGTTTAACACGTTCACTACTAACATCACATGTCTGTGACACAACGATTTCCATTGAAAGCTCAGCATCACAGACATGTAACGAAGTCAATTTTTATGTTATTTCTGCATAAATAAATAAAAACCTAGAACTTTGAAAAAAGTACCAGGTTGTGAGTGAATTATTTAAAAATATTACAAAATGGCGGCGTTGTAGCTGATGATATAGAGATCCTCCGCCGGAACGCGCGTCGTTGATCGGAAGCAGATCTCTGTAATGGTGTATTTGAAAAAAAAAAAAATGTGTTCTTATTCGTGAATGTTGTGACTATAAAGTAGCGTACGGATTTTTTGTTATCTTGAGAAATGAGCGGTGAGTAAATACTGTTTCTATATAAAAATTTAACAAAAAAAAAATTAATATTAAAAAACTAATAAACATATTGCAAAAATCATACGCTACTTTCTAAATAATGTAACTGAGAGTATTGTTTCAAACTTTCAAATCAATCAGTCCAGTAGTTTTCGAGATTTCTTTCTGGTTAAAAAAATGTAGTTTCGAGAAAAACGCAAAAGAAAATAAGTATCCGGTTATTTGGATAATAAAATGGTTTTTTTTTGCTCGCACTTAATCAGCGATTCCTGGTCCATATGACGTTCCTTCAGCAGTAAAATTAGCATCTTGAAATTTTTTTTGAAATGATCTGCGAACTTGGCGAGCGTTTTTCATATTTTTTTATGCTTGGATCTTCGAGGTATCACAACGTTGCTTATCGACTTTCATGTATAATTCGTAGTAGCAATGCCCGATTTGCAGATGCATCAAGTTCATCATCGATAGAATGCTTTTATAGCCATCGTATACAAGCTTTGCAGTACGAAGATTTAACTATTAAATTTATCACTTTGCCCAAGTAATACTCAATAATCATCGATACGCCGTAAAGCGAAGAAAAGTTTCATTCGCATCAAGTTCCGTCTCCAGAAACAGTCAAATCTGAGCCTTTTCCCATTTCTGCTGTCAATTTTTATTCCTTCTTCACAGCATTTTCCATTGACATCTTGCAGACACATTTTATGCAGCAGTACTAATTTGTTCGGTATCGTAAAACGACTGGTACATCGCTTTCGGTAAATCCATAATTCCATGAAATTTTTATATTCCTCATAAACCAATTCCTAACAATCAGAATGCTAAAATAATTCATCTGTTTATGTCATACTCTTTATTTTTTATGAGAGGACTAGAATTGACACTGGTTGCTTCGCAGGAGTCACACGAAAGCATTAATGTAAAACCGAGTCCACAAATTCTTACGACTCTATGAACGTCATTGTTGCATGCCTTACACTTCACAACATTACTAATTACAGAAAAACCGATGATAAAGTTTAGAATTCCGTACATATACAAAAGGATACAATAGAACAGATAAGCGTGCCGAGTATGGGTCCAACCGTGCGTCTCACTGTTCGCAGCTATCCGACCGTTCTATCTAGAAACATCTATAACTCTGTCAATTTTTCGAATTTTAATACCGGATATGACTTAAATTGTTCGCAAAACTTCAAAGTTAATAAAAATGCAAAAAAAGAATCAATTTTTTCAAACTTCTTGGGTAGTCAGATCTCTTAAGTCTCGTTTAATAATTCGATTTTTCTTCCTCTCTCCTAGATTGGTACTGTTAGCAATGTGATTGGTACTATTAATATATCAAAAATATTTAAAAAAATAGGCTAATGATCTTAGCAATTGTGAAAGTAAATGTAACTATCGGTAAGATGATTTAGAAATGTAATTCATTAATGAATGAATCATTGAATTCAATATTAAAATATTATTTAGATGATCAACAAACTCATGAGAATCCAGAAGATCTGTTTCAAAATTATTGAATGAATATTTCAAGCTTTTCCCGTTTATTCAAAAACGAAAATTATATTTAATGTGAAATATTTAATTTATATTTAATACGAAAATTAGTGCAGATACTGTATTAGTCATACATGGAATAAAATTTGTATCAATGCTATGGATCATTATGTTCCACATGATGTTCTTCACGTACAACTACACTGGTAATGTAATGACGATGATGAAATGTCATAATATAATAATAAATTTGTTAAAATTTGGATACTTTGATTATAGACAATAAATCTTTATCCTGGAGGAAAATGGAAGATTTTGTTATCTAGATGTTAACCAACGAGAATTTGGCAGTTGATACATTGTTCTTCCTAAATGGTTTCCTCGTCGATTAAGTGAATTTAACGAATGAAAAAAGCAAGAATGAATTCGTTCAATCACATAGCTAAAACTAAAATCTTCTTCCTGGGTATTTTAAAAAGATTTGTCAGATAGGATAATTTTCAAGTATAATAAAAAATTTAATTATTTTTAGAAACTTATTTGTTAATTCTTCTAATGTAATTTAATATCGGCTTATATGATGGCATTAGAATTATTTACAATAAATTCCATGTGATTTAATAAGAACTCGTTATTTTACATGAGATATCGATCACATGAAATATGTCCGAAGTATTAGTAGAGGAATATATTTTATATTCAAAATTTCTTTCATATGAAGACCATGCTATGAACATTTGTTTATTAATAATTGATTGACACACAATATTCAGTGTATGAACGATTACTTATGAATATTTATTTTTACGGTGTATGATCTGGAACTGGTACATGGTAAACAATATGCAGTTCTTTGCAATTGGCACATTACTGCTACTTACTCGTATTTTCAATGTAAATACGTTATCTTCGTTTTTCTAATTTTTATATAAATTTTTTTAGATAAAACAGTTCAATGACAAAACTCAATTGCAGGTATTTCAATATGGCAGTCTGTTTGCTAAGTCTATTTCTTATCGACGATTATAATGGGTTATATCTCCTATATCTACGATTATATTCCTACGTAAGTATTAAATAGTAAATGTTATATAAAAAAGCTAAAACAATCAAGACATTTTATAATGTTATAGATTGGACTAACAGTACCATCTCGTTATATATTTGTGTGTGCTTCTTCATTGATGTGTGTTTTTTCATTGATGTTCGAAATACCATACATCCTTTTGATGAAACAAATTATTAATTATATACGCTGATAAAAACAAATGGTTGATATCTTCATGCTTATGCAAACTGATATAACTTTCTTTCCATGTTTTGTAATTTATTAGTCCATATATGTTTGTTTTTTCTCGTGATTCAATGCATTTCTTTCTAAATTACATACTGTTAATTAGAAAGAATTATTTTAAAAGAAGTAATTATTGTGAATAATTGATTGAACGAGACGCAACACAGACGGAATCCAACGCAAAGAAACGCATTTCATGATTTTTATACGAAGTTACGGTAACAAACTTAATGATTTTGTTAAAAATAATAATTACAGAATATTTGTAATATATTATATAGTATTTATTTACATTAGCGAATAATGCAAACCTAATCCCTCGATGATGGAATGAGCTGCTCGATGATACATCGGACCTTTGTCGATATATCAAACTTTCATCAACAATTCGCCTCATTGACGATGAATCCATCCCATGATGACCCCGCGCAAAGAAGAAGAGGAAGAAAAAAAAGAAATCCGGAAGATGCGATAGAACGCGTGCGAGCATGAGAACGATGGAAATGATAATGAGGCATGAACATTTTGAAGATCGGTCTAGTCGAACAAAATCAGTATCCAAATCGAGATCAATTTTTCCTTACTGAAAGAAGGAGACCTGTCCAACTTCTTTGTCCGACTTTTTCCAAAGAACTCCTTCCAAGGGCTCATACCCGAAGGTCCCATCAGAGAGTTCGACACAATAAATATTTTTCCCTATTGAAAGAAAACAACCTACTCAAGGATCTATGCTCAAGAATTTCACCCGAGAGAAACTAATATAATTAAAGTAGAATAATCGTTTCAACTAGTAGAATTAAGTGGCTATCTGTTTCAATAACTAGAAAAAAGTGTTTGTTTACTCATTCCAAAAAATTCTGAGAACTGTTCCTATTATCCGAATTACTATCGAAATTAAGTAAAATACGTTCATAAGAAAATATTTACTAAAATTTGTAAATTATTTAAAAGAATAGTTTACTATTAATATATATTATAACTAATTATATTCTGTATATTTATAAGATATGGGCTGTGATTTTATAAGTTTTTTTTGTTTTTTAGCAATGACTCCACTCGATTTTTCGCTTTCAAAAGCAATGACTCTAATCAACTTTTCTTTTTCTAAAACAATAACTGTACTCGCCTTTTTCTTTCAAAATGACTCTATTCAAACTTTCTTTTTTTTCCAACAAAATTGATTAAATATTTAACTAATTTTTATTAAAAAATATAATGGAAAACTCTTAGACATTCTTCCTTATAAGCGATTACTTTGATTATTACACGAAAATCATCCAATTTCGCTTATAATCGAAAAATAATCGTGAATCTAATTCTTGCTAATTCTTTATTAGAACTAGTAAATATTAATGTAATTTCATGTCAGAATACAAATAATTATAAAAGCGTATAAAACAAGATCATATCCTGATCTAATAAATAAATCAAAGAATAAGGAACCATTCACAAGTAAATCTCCGGAGAAAAATTACTTGTGATCACTCAATACTCTTCTAGTAATTAATTACAATCAATCACGTGTGCCGATTTGGATCTTTCGTTTTCAATATGATTGAGTGATCGGAGTGACTTAAAAATTCACTTATTACTTAACAAATTCTGCAATGACTTCTGCAATGTTTGTCTGTGATTTAGGTCGAAATTGAGATTGGTCAATTCGTAGGTGAACACGAGATAGGTCAACATCGAATAGTCGAAATCCTCTTCAGTGATGTACTGATTCTAATATCCAGTAGTTGATTATTAACGGATGGTCACTGAATTTAATTCGCGAAACTTTACTTATCCTGTATTATAAATACAGTCTACGCAGCTATTAAAAAAAAATTTTGCGAACAACCACTGATTCTAACGATTGCATTGCATGCAGTCGATGCAAATACACTTGCTTAAATCGAAAACCCAAACACTGCTTCTATATCGTGATTTTTTGATTTTTATTTTCACAAATACTCAATTGCATCATTGCTTCGCACACGATTACAATGGTATTCTGAAACAGAAAAATAAAAACAAAATTATTAGTATCATTAATAAAAGAAATTGATGAAAGTATTTTTAAGTAATGTTTGATATAAAAATATATTTACTTTAAGTGTTTGTTAATCCTTATACGTTGAGCATCAAGAAGATGAAGAATTTTGACAAAAAAATAAAATTAATGATGAGTTTTTTTTTTGCCAACATTTCTGACGAACAACTCTGTCTTTTCTTTGAGTTTCTAGTCTTTTTATTTCTACTATGCTACATTCGCTTCTTTATTGCTTTGATCACTATTACGACATGTTCTAAAACAAAAAAATAAAAACGAAAAAAATTATTAATATTATTTTTACTATATAAAATTGTTGAAATTATTCAGAAAACGTTTAATACAAAAATTTTCTTAGTTTAAGTTTTTGTTGATCCTTGAACGATGTGCATCCTGTCCCAAAATGATGAAGAATGCTGACGAAAATAAAAAGCTAAAGATGAGTTTCTTGTCGCGATCAACAATGACTCTACTTAGCGATTCTGTGCACTATTCTTTAAATAGAAGTTACTTATACTCTAGATACAAACTACACTTGTTTAAATAAATGTAAAATAAATGAAATTATAAATTATTTAAGATTATCCGTATGGAAAGAGAGAATTTGGATATTTACTCGTTGGAATGCGAAAAAGAACTAACTTGATAATTAATATTCATTTGAGCGTTCATTTTTGTTAATATTAAATATATATAATCAACTTCGAGTTCAAAATTTAACTGTTTGATTTATTAAATTAAAATTATTTTATATTTAACGCGCTTTACTAACTATATAATAACTATATAATAAAAAGATTATTATTTAAATATTTATTTATTGTTTTTGTGTACATTATGTATTATTTAAATATTATTCAGAGAAAATCGATTATTAGATATCTGTGTCATAAACAAACAAAATCAATTATTCACAAGCATTTTTCATATATTGAAATCTAATATCAGAAAAAAAGCGCTAAATGTGATTATTCCACGTACATTATTTTCTACATAATACATATACAAAGTTTAAACAAAGTAATGGAGATACGGTGTTTCTTTTTCTTATTTTTTATTAGCTAGAAGAACTCTTTAATCTTTAGTAAATTTAAACGAGTAAATTTATTAAATGATACCTACAGAGATGTATACAGAAATATATTGGAATATTCTGCAAAAATTCGTGATCTTTTAACTAATATTAATAATCCATTTTCAAACATTAACCGTCCGTTATGCTTGACGAAGGAATATATTAGTTCATCTTTATTTGATTAGGTTTATACTATCTAAAGTGCTTCTTAAAATGTCTCACACATTGCAGTTCATTATATGTAATTTAAATGTACATGTTTACACATTTTCATTCAGTTTTATTTCAATCACTATATTCAGAATTCTGATAACGTCTTTTACCTATGAACAAAGGAGATTTTCTATTGTTCCACTCATTCCAAGTTTTATATTATCTTTCGTTTAAAAGTGAGATTCCAGCTGTCTTTTTAATTAAAATATTGTTGGGATCAGTTAACCCTAGCATGTTCTGTAAAATGCATTTTTGATATCAAGTTTTCCCTCTCTTAACCCTTTACGGTCGTATTTAGTTTATATAATACTTGGGTGTTATGCTGATCGAAGTTAATTTTCATTAAACGAACAGTAATACATAATATGCAAAATTACGAAGGAAAAACAAAATTTATTAATTTTTTAAATTTTAGATAAATGTAACATAATAACATATTTTAATTTTACGTAAAAATTACATTTTATAGTTTTTCATCGTATGATATCTTTCATATTAGGTACCGGTATAGTATCAATGTTCGGAATTACGCCTAAAAAAGCAATAATCTCTTCTTTCGTCACATCGACCCAGTTATTTCAAGTTGATCGTTCAAATAAACTCTGTTGCTTTATTTTATTTTTGGCATATTTATTTGTTTCTAGTACAATTGTTTAAACAGTATATCTGTATATACTGAAAAAATGTCTGAAAAAATTAATAGGTTCTGTACAATGAACAAGTACATTAGTTCCAACAATCTTAAATCTTGTCAAAAATAAGTTTTTGATTGAAGCTGTACGTAATATCTCTCTAAACAATAAATTTATTTATATCACTATTTTCGCTTTCATCATTTTCTTCTACTTCACTATCGCTGGAAATTTCTAATTACATTACTCATCGCTTCACTCAATCTATGTCATTATCAAAGTCACTACTATTAATATTTTCAAAACAACCGTTATCACTTTCTATATCAAAGTTAGTGTTATCAGAGCACCGTTAATCGCCGATGATTAAAACTGTGTATCTCCGAAGCTTATTGATATAATATAAGATCAATATGGTTCTTTGCTGTGATGACTCAGAGTGGATATATGACTGAAATGATAAGAAAGCTTTAGTGAATGAGAGTAGACATACGACCGCAAAAAATTAATATTAGGAATCATTTTTTGCATGTTAAATCATTTACAGCATCGTCTCTATGTAAAACATACAATTTTTTCACAAATTTCATGAAAACAATATTGATATCACAAACATAAGATTCAGAAATTCCAGAAAAGATATTATATACGTAATTCCCTTCTCTTCTTCTAGAAGGATACTAATTTTCGATTTTCGATTCGATTTTAATTTAATGAATATCTCTTAAACGTGGTGATGCTCCAATTTGCAAATATTGCACCATGAAAGTTGCACTTTTGGCAATCGATAGGTATTTTTAATAAAGCTGATTATTATTAGAAATGTTTTTATTGTAATTTTATTGTAATCAAGAAAACTATACTGATTCCATGTCAAATAATTTACATGTTCATATAAATCCAACATAGATTCCTTACCGCAAATAGGTAAGTAATTGAACGATTTCTCAATCATGAAAATTTAATAATAATTATATTTCAATATATAGGATTCGAAAAATATTATAAATGCAATATACATTAGCATCCAAATGAAAAGTTTATTAGTCCAACCTATCCAAATAAATAATTAAAATACAATATATATATATATATATATATAAATAAGTCCTATTTTGCAAATATTTCTTAAACACAATTTTACCATGACTTACGAGAAGCATCACATGAAATTCGTACAATTGGTATACTGAGATAAGCCGTATATTAGAAAATATATATATTCTTATTATTTTACGATATCATATAATCTTACATATTAAAATAATGTAAGTGAATTTATTTCTATCGTTTTTAAAATCTTTCCAATAAATTTTTTTATATATAAATAATAGCGTGAAATATCCTACATGTAATATTTATCTAATATATTCGGCTTAAATAAAATAATGAAGATTAAAAATAGTCGTAAGTTGTTGGATGAAATAAATCGGCGAAGTAAGTAATTATAAAGATATATGATTACATTCAAGTCAATTATTATTCTTTATGTGTACTTTAACAAGTGTATATAGATGTATATAATTTAATTTTTTTTTTTTCATATCCATGTTCAAGTAACATGACTATTACACTCGAATCACGTCGAATAATATAAATATCCAATTATCGACTTTTATTAAATTCACTAAATCAAAAGTAACTAAAGAAACATTTAATATAGTAACGTACAATGTATCAGTATTAAAAGAAGGTAGAAAATGAAACTTGTAAATTAAAACAAGAAATTATATATGGGACAAAGTGGGTGAATTTCTAACTTTTACATGTATAAAATAAAACGGGTTTAATGTATTCGTCTATGAACGGTTTCATTAAATAAAACATTTAATTCTGATATACGTAAATTTCATACATTTTTTAACATTTTTCGATTTCTTTCTTTTTTTTTTATCGTATCGTACTGTTTATATTAACAGTCTTGGTAAAAAATAAAATTAATCAACGATATAACTCATGATTATACGGAATTTGATATTTATGCATATTTATTATAAAAACACGTATGACAAATAACGTTTGATTTCTGTTATTAAAAGACTGATGAAAGATTTACAATTTACAGAAATAACGTAAATATAAAATGAATCATTTAATTGCTTCATGCAATAAATTGTTGTTTCGTTAGATTTACGGTCAGTTCTATTAAGACTAAAAATTACGCTTTATTTCAATAAAAGTATTTAATGAATTTAAGCGTTTAACTTGTATTTTACTTCCTTTAACATGTACATCCAGAAAAAATTACGTATCAACAGATGATATACAGAAAAGAATGCATTGATTGGAAAGATATAGAAAAACTAATTAAGAAATATAATCTTTATATAGATATAGAATTCAGTTTTGTGTGGCTTTTTTAATGTCTCTTCTTTTTTATTTATTTTTTCTTTTTTCTTTTCCCCCCCCCCTTTTTTTTTTTTTTTTTTTTTTTTTTTTTTTTTTTTTTTTTTTTTTTTGAAAAATGTAGTGAGAACTTCGATGTACTTTTGTTCTAATATTTTACAAAAAAGATATTGAAGACTCTATAGATGCAAAATAACGAAGTAAAGCACGATTATTTTATCGTGAGTATTAGTATTCTTTCATATTAAACATATGTTGTCATTTCTATGTAATCTTTTTGGCAAATAATTTTGTCCAGTGTTCAATAATAAATATAATTGTCGATTTTTTATATATAGCCATAAAAATATACTAAAAATAAATTTGATGATTTCGTATAAATTGTAAATATCTGTGGTGCCATAACATAAACACACACATATTACCTATGAAAAACTTAAAGATCCTATGTCAGCGATTTCAAAATGATAACATGCAAGTTTAAATTTTATAATATTCAATTCACAAAAAGTAATCTGCTTGTGGTTTCTTGCTAGGTATTCCTCGACTTTCTTGTGGTGCTGCTTCAAAGATCGTAAAATCCCTTTGTAAGTGTTCATTTAATTCCAATATAGCCGCCACATTACCACACCTAAAAATAAATAAAAAATATATAATATATACAAAAATAATCCGATTCTCTAAGTATATTACAACAAAACCATATACATTTTAATAATAATATAATTTACATTTAAAAAGTTATTGATCAAAATTTATACCTATAACAATAATTTGGAGCAGACCAAACTGTGAGAACAGTTTCATTGAAATGCCATTTATAACCTTCCATTACCAACTGATGTGCTCTACATATCATATCAATATCATTAGCAGAGTTAAACTGAGCTACAACATCACTACCAAATAAGTATCCTGCTCCACGGGGTGAGACTCCCCAACCTTGAGTATCTTCTGGGTCAGACCATAATAGATCGCACATTGGACCATCGTGAGGAACCTGTACAAAAATTTCATATTATTCTCTCCATAACATATATATAACAAGTTTGATTCACTTTTTAAATAAATATAGTTTTTATTAGTTTATATATACGTATATAAATATTAAATATTAATATAACCAAACTATATAAAAACAAATAAGAAAAGAATTAAATATTTCATTACTATTACTCACTTCTTGTTTTCTATCTATAGTACGAATCTGATCAAGAGTTTGAATACTAGGAGACAAACCACCATGAACACAAAATATTTTCCCATCTATAATTGCTGATAGCGATAAATAATCAAAAATTTCAGTACAGTACCGCCATACCGTAATACTACCATATTTACGTAAACATTCATCATAAAATCCATAGACTTGAGTAATTTGCCTTGATTCGTGATTCCCTCTTATTAATGTAATCCTATCAGGATAACGTACCTATAAAATCAATCAAAATTTCCAAAAATAATTCCTTTATTCTTGAAATTTCCAATGTATTTGGAAAATACTTTGGAAATGTCAAGATAAATAATATATACTCCTAAATTTATAAATATATTACTTTTAATGCAAGGAGAAGAAGGAATGTTTCGACGCTATAGAATCCTCTATCAACAAAATCTCCCATGAAAAGATAATTAGTTTCTGGAACATCACCACCTACTTTAAATAGTTCTTTCAAATCATAAAATTGACCATGAATATCTCCACATACCTATAAACATAAATTACAATTAATAATAATTTTAATCACACATATACTTAAGTATCTTATAAATAATACTTTATGACAAATTAGATATTTTTAACTTCTAGTCAATTAAGACTTACTGTAACTGGAGAATCAACTCGTTGTACATTACTTTCTTCTATAAGAATTTCACGAGCCTTTGCACATAAAGCTTTTACTTCAGCTTCCTTTATGATTTCACATTTCTTAAGTTGTTCAATTTGCCGATCCAAATCACTGGAATCGGCCATTGTAATGACACCAGATGAAAATGGCTACAAATAAACGTATTTCTTTTTTATATAAAAATAACCAAGATTATATACAGATAAGATAAAATATAACAGTATATATTTTATTCTAAAAATAAATAATCTATTATCCACTAATACATCAGAAATATTTTGGTGTGCATAATCTGCAATAAATATTATTAATTCATCGTATTATTGTTCTTTAAATTATAAAAATATAAATTTCAACTTATTTTTAATATAATAAATATAATTTACATATACAGGATTTTAATGTAGTAAACACAGTTATAATATATGAGCATATATAGCATTGCACTCTTAACATATTAAAATTTTTTATTATGATTATAAGCTACTATTTGCAAGAATAATTCGTGTACATTATATCAATTATATATCAATTATACAAAATAAATTACAGTTTTTAGAATATTTTGAAGGGGTAAGTCTGAAAACATAACTTTATAAAGAAGAATCTCTCACTAATCTGAATTATTTTAATAATATTTTACAAAGTAAAATGTAAGATATAATAAATACACAAATATTATGCAAAAGAATATGTTAATTACACATAATGTAAGAATATTTTATTTTATATACAATATATATATGTATATATATATATATAGTTTTTGTGTGTATATATATATCGTGTATATCAAGATATATATATATATCGATTCAAATGCATACCTATATCAAATTCCGTGTGAAATATGTCTATATAAAGCTGCTAATACATCAAGTAAATAAATTTACAGTCCAGTCGTTAGAAAAAAACTCTTTTAGGCTATATTCTTATGCCAATGACTACTCGATTCAAGTAAGATACCAATTGTGTTGCATTTGTAAGTACAGAAGATCAGACAATTGTGCCATCTACAGGAAATAGGAACTAAAATAGATTTTTACCTTTTTAAAGAAATTTTTATTATTCACTATTTAATGCAAAAGAATACAATGACTATCAGTTAAAATTAGTGTTAATAATTATATTATCCATTTGGAATAATATCAGTATAATTTATTATATTTAATTGAAAACAAAACTATTTATTATTTTAAATGTTAAATGATATATAAAAAATAATATATATACACACATACATACATCAAAGAGAATAAATTCGTATTACTAGGAACTTTGAATTAGAGATCTATACGATTTTTTTCTAAGTTTTACAATAACGAATACGAGAAAATAATTTTTCTTATTACCATAAATATCTTCCCGTTAGCTCAAATGAAACAAAAATGAATCCACGTATATAAATACAAAATTGTTGATTATAAATTAAGGGCCAGTTGAACACCTCCTCTTTTAGAATAGAAAAAAAAATATTAAGAAAAGTGTAATAATTTCATATGTAAAATATTTTAAGCGTATAAAATAAAACACTTAATTTCCGGTTAAAGCGGAAATTGAATGATTATTAGCTTTCTTATAGAATATATTGTAGTTTCTTATTAAATTATATATTTAATTCAATTACCTTTAAAAATCTATTAAGCAAGTATAGGCTCCAAATTAATAATTAATAAAATATTTATGTCCGAAGTATGCTGTGTAGGCAGAAACAGTATTATTAATATTAATAAAACTGAAATTTAAAAAACTATAAGCGAAAATTATAAACGCCATTAATTAAATATCATCTGAAATATGTACGAAATACAAAATGTACAAAAAAGTATAATTATAAAATGTCGATATTTTCTTTATTAGAAATTCATAAAATAATTGATATTCGACAGTATATATGAAACAGTAAAAAAGAATTTATTAAGAATTTATTAGTTATTTCTATTAATTTAATACACTAAGTTTTTGATAAAATAATAAAGTATTTTCAGTTCATCATGAAATCCACAAGTTTGATTACTATATTTGAATATTTCTTTATGTCTTCATATTCCTTCTTTGAATTAATATTTTTCCTGTTTTTTGATATATATTGAAGACAATGTAATTCTAGATCTCTTATATGTAAGTCATCTGCAATAATAAGAATATCAAACACATTTTCTACATTCATGCTCTTGATCAAAGTTTCTTTACATAATTCTACCAAATCTTGTATGTTATACATGTCAGCTATAAAAATAAGATTATTTGCAATATTATCTAAATCATTAAATTTGTTAGTATATATATAAGACAACATAGAGTTACATGTTTCTTTTGCTATATTAGTTATATAAATTTTCTTATCTTTTTGTTCTTTCATTCCAATTGTGAACATGTTTCTAAATATAGGACTATGTGCTGCAAGTATACATTTATGCACAGGAAACACTGAATCTTCAACATAAATTGATAGGTCACTTAATTCTGAATTACTTTGCAATGAAGTTATATGTTTCATTATTGTTGGTAATTGTTTTAACTTGAAATTGGGCAATTGTTTAGTCACAGGAAATATATGAGTGACTTCAAGTGACACATCAAATTCTTCTTCATCTAACATCAGATCTTCATATTTAATTATTTTATGGGTCTTATCTATAATCTGTCTTGCTTGTTCTAAATGTAATATATTACATATAACAAATAAATATCCACCATAATGATTCTTCTTAAAATCAAATTGCAGAATAAGATCATCATTATGATACATCATTGTGACTGCATATGAACAAGATGGCAATAGAAACATGGGTGATATTTTTACTGTATCATCAAAGAATTCTTCGACAGACCACAAATATTTTGGATGTTCATATTTCATAAATGTAGTCTCTATATAATGAGTATTTTTTTCCATTTTTTCTCAAATAATATCTCAATAAAATAAAATAATCTGTTGATTAAATAGCCCTAAAACAAGCATCGTATAAAAAATAATAAAAGCAGTATATTTATATACAGTATGGCTACACAAGCAACCCCTTTATAATATGATATTCTACGTGGTCCTGCTCTAACTTTGTGAAGTGTTTTATACGTATGATTGTTCTGCTAATATGCATATGACAGCTACTTTTTGTTTGTAAAATCAATAAAATCCAAATTAGAAAATTGGTTTATTTGACTAAGTATCGCACAATAGAATAATACAAATCTTGATAGTTATAACAGGAAAATAGTATAATTTTGTTAATCTTTAAAACCTCTTTTTTATTCTAAGTCTTTCTCTTGTATGACACGAATTTATATAATACGATATTTTAAAAAAATTAACCGATCGTCTTATACGAGGTTTACTTGTACATACATATATACATCGTAGCATTTATACGTACGGAATAACTCTTTTATTCAGCATGCATACATGTAGAAAATAATAAAATGAAGTATAATACAGTGTCTTTATTCGTTCATGATTATAATTTGTTGGCCGTTTTTCATCAAATAATTTTTGGCATGATCGATTTTCAATCAAAGTTATGTTTGGGGCATTAAAACGCCATGAAAAGATACGCCACGAACAAAGAGGACACCAATGAACATGACATCAGTAGAAGTACATCGATACAGACTAACGAATTACACAACGATAAAATAATCAATGGAAGCACCACTATACAATACGTGGTGCAACTGGAAAAATAAAAAGAACCCGTTGAAAAATTCTCTCTTTCGATCCATAGTACAAATTTTACATAAAAAATCTGGTTAAAAGACAAAATTTTATTTTTGTTTAAAATGAATAATATTTTTCCTCTATATTTCTGTATACGTATATACATAAACTATATTTTTTTTTTATAAACAGCAACATTTAGTAGCTAATTAAAAACTAAAATTCAACAATATATGTGCTCGAAGAAAATATCAAGAAATCTATATTAAGGGTATTTTCTACCTTTTGTTCAAAGTGTATGTGACTTCAACGATAGGTATGGACAAAATATAAACTACGAATACAAATAGGGAACGCTAACCCCACTATGCGACTATCGTATCGTAGTGTATAACCTTGTTTAGTTAATCCCTTTACGCGTATATAAAAATGGTTTCATTGGGTTAAAATAATTAGTGTTACTAGATGCATACTTTTCAATCTTTCATATGTATATCTTTCTTCGATAGAGCGTGCGTTTCGCAGTAATCTGTGCTAGCTATGTCTATACACATTTGTTTTACGATAAATGCATAGAAAATAATAAATATAATTGAACATATAAAAATAAGTATATAAATCTGCAACAAAAATAAGAATTTGTTTAATATTTTCTTCAAAATAATTAGTGAATACTTATATATTATATTATTTTAATATAAATTAAAACACAACTTCATTTTCACACTACCTATGAAGTAGATCAGCGCTTTTTTTAGATGGTTTCTCCTATAGGACAGTCCATTCTGTACTACTATTACTATTACTACTACTACTGATAATAATAGTAATAATATAATATAATAATAATAATATATTTAAATATTATTTATATATATCTAGATATTATTTAATACATTTCATATTGTATAGTAAAGACAATTAACTTCGACTGATCATGAGTAAGAAATAGTGTGGAAATAAATGTATAATGATTATAAGGTAGTAAGACAAAGAGAAACGATAGTGGACGAAAACAAAAGAAACATTTCTTACATTTTTCATATGTCGCATTTGTATTAACATATTTATCGATAAGCGGTTACGTGTCGAAATTATCAAGGACAGTTTATTGAGTGTCGCGCATCAAACCACCACGTAAAATGATGCACATTTTCTTCTTTTGTTATAAATTATCGTATATTATATAAATCATATCTATCATGATTTATACAATATAAATATATTCTTCTGTTTCTTATTATTATTACTGTTTTTAGTACTATATTATTACATTAAATATTATTATTATAGTAATAGTAGTAGTAATAGTAATAATATGAAGTGAACTACAGAGGAAATCATAAAATAGCGCTGGGGGAAAAATTTCGTAGATAATGTGAAAATGAACTCGTATTTTGATATTATTAAAAATAATACATAATATGTATGTTCATTAATTATTTTGAAGTCGACAAATATATACACTTTATACATTTGTCATTGAACAAAATTATACTGCTACTGTGTCCTATCTATCACAGATTACCACGAAATTCACGTCATCAGTGTAGGAAATAAATATAAAAGATTGGATAGTAACACCTTACTAAATTATATTTATTATTTTCTATGTATTTATCGTAAAACAAATGCGTATAGACGTAGCTAGCACATATCACTGCGAAACGCAATCTCTATCAAAGAAAGATATACATATGAGAGATTGAAAAGTATGCATCTAGTAACACTAATTATTTTAACCCAATGAAACCATTTTTATGTACGCGTAAAGGGAATAATTAAACAAGGTTATACACGATACGATACGATAGTTGCATAGTGGCGTCAGCGTTCCCTATTTGTATTCGTAGTTCATATTTTGTCCATACCTATCGTTGAAGTCACATACGCTTTGAACAAATGGTAATAGCCGGCCAAACTGTTTCAAACACAACAGCCTTAACTGTTTCACGGGTTTTTGTTGTTTCTTAATTGAAAATTGCCAAACGGCGCGATAGCGTTTGTTTGATCCTGTATCCAAAAATGCCAAGGAACGCGATTGCGCTGTTTAGTGTTTATATGTTATAAATCTTATTAATATAAACGTATATTTCATTATTGTTTTTTATAGCTTATTCTATATTATTTAGTTCATTATATTATTATAATAATAGTTGTTTATAAGAATAGAAACGTGTACACCTACAAAGTGTAATATTACTCCAATTTTATTTTAATTTACCTAAGACTGAACGGTAACCGTAGTCACGTATCGACAAAAACCGGGCTTGTGATTGTCGGCTTCGCAGCTTAGAGCGCTGGCACTTTTGGGCACAGGCATTCAAACGGTTAAGAGAATATTTTCTTCTTTTACCGTAAAATTAGAAGATCTTTTAATTATCTTTTTCTTTTTTTAAGTGATTCCTCAAATGTTTCCATAGTTCTTTAATCTTTTTATTGCACTTACGTTATACACATATAAAATTTGTTTAATGCTAGCCAACATTCTTTTATCAACGTTCACCTAACTTATGAATGACACAATGCAAAATATGTTAAACAGCAATTAGAAATGAACTTTAGTTCAGTTGATATTTCTTCTGAATTTAATATCCATAACGAGTCAAAGGAATTTGAAGCATTTTATGAAATCAATTTTTATTATAGGCCGTGTAACGTTTATTAGAATGTAAAATTAATTGATTGGATGGTGTAAGCTGTGGCAACTTCTAAAGGACGGGCGGTTATGACAACGCCTAGATGGCGTAAATACTATTACAGGTTTCGAATGAGGAAACTCATTTACATCTTGGGAATTTGAATTTCCAATACGCAAACCAATATAAGTTTACGAGAATCTTCTTTGTTCATTTAGTCTGTATAGTTAATGATTGAATCGCATTAAATTTAAACAAATGAATTTCAAATTCTTCGAATCGATTCGAAGTTTAATTAATTAATATAGATTTTGAAGTTTTGATAAGTCACGAATCTATTATCAATTTCATTGTTTAACCAACAATGGATTTAATGATATTTGAAATACTTTAAACCACTTTGAATTTGTATAGTAACTTCGAACATAATTCTAATCTTACAACTCATGAGGATCTTAATAAATCTCGAATATTTTGTCACTTTCTCGAATATATTGCACTAGCGATAATGGACTCTTTCTGCGCACAATATATCAAATCTTACACCATTACTAATTTTTATTATTTCCTTAATAACAAGGTTTTATATAAAATTCTTTAATCCACTTATTTTAATAGTTTGAATATAATTAATAAAACTATTACTACAAGGACTATTTGAAAAGTTCGCGGTTTTTTCTTAAAATGAAACAAATCTTAAAGTGAAAAATAAAAAAGCCGCATATTGCTAAAATAGTTCTAGTACTTGTTCATCTTTGAATATATAATTACTATACTTTATACTTTATGTATTATATTATACATAATACTATATTAATTTTAATATAATTATATTTTTTTTATCTTATTTTCTACATATCAACATTCGTAATATATATTGCAAACTATAAAAACTAATAACATAAATTAATGTATTTTTGTTAATTCGAATTTTCGAAATTTTTTAAATATTTGTTGTCAATTGCTCGAACAAAATCTATCGAAACTTTCAAAACTTCGGAAAGTATGAATTGATGATCAAAATATTCAAGAGTTTTACTTTCTTGAGATAGGGTTCAAGATTATGATATAGATTCGAAGCGATTCGAAGTCTTTCATACCTTATCGTTAGTTATAGTCAGTCAAGTCAAATTCTTATTATCACGTTCACGAGTCATACTAAACTGTTATATATATTGTTAATTGTTAGTATAACCCAGAAATTAAGCATTTTTGGATTTAAGCATATTGATACAGTCTATTTTTCTTCTCTATATATGAGGAATCAATTCCTGAAGTTTTGCTGTGTAATTTTTTACATCATGTATATATAAGTTATTATCTATCTTTTTTTAACAATTTGAAGTATTTTTAATACCAATTAGAAGAAATGTAAGTAAGAACTACTTATTGATTGTATGGAAAAATTAAAATTCCAGAATATGAAATAATAAAAAAAAATTTATTTAACTTTGTTCATATCTATTTTATACACTAAGATTTTTGTAAAACAATAAAGTATTTTTAGCCCATGAAGTAATCTAAAATTTTTGCTACTATATTTGGATATTTCTTTACATCTTCATATTCCTTACTTGAATGAATAATGGTCTTGTATTGTGATATATATTGAAGACAAAGTAATTCTAGATCATGCATATGTAATTTATCTGCAATAACAAGAGTGTCGAATACATTCTCTTCATTCATTTGCTTGATCAAAGCATCTTTACATAACTTTACTAAATCTAGTATATTATACATGTCAGCTATAATAATAAGTTCGCTTGCAATATTATCTAAATCTTCAAGTCTATTAGTATATATATAAGACATCATAGAGGTACATGTTCCTTTTTTTAAATCTGTTATATAAACTCTGCCTTCTTTTTGTTCCTTCATTCCAGATGTGAATATATTTTCAAATACAGGACTATGTGCTCCAAGTATAAATTTGTGCACTGGATATACTGAATCTTCAACACAAATTGTTAAATCGCTTAATTCTGAATTAAAATGTAATGAACTTATATGTTTCATTATTTCTCGTATATGTTTTATCTTGAAATTGGGCAATTGTTTAGTTACAGGAAGTATATGTGTGACTTTAAGTGACAGATCAAATTTGCTGTAAAATGAAGACACATTTTGATATATGATTGATTTATTGGTCCCATTAATAATTTGTGTCTTTTGACAACAATCTAACATAGAATATATAACACTTAAATATCCACCATATTCTTTCTCGTCGAAATCAAATTCTAGAGTTAGACTACGACTAGTATGCTCCATCGTAACTGTATATGTACAAGACGGTAATAGAAACACGGGTGACATTAAAATTGTGTTAGAATGGAATTGTTGAACAGGCCACAAAAATTGTGGATTTTCATATTTTATAAATGTAGTCTCTATATAGAATGTATTTCCCTCCATTTTTTAAAATTAATATCTCAATAAGATAAAATAATCTTTTGATAAAATAGCCCTAAAACATGCATCGTATAAAGAATGAAATTATTATGTGTATGGAGAGTATGACTGTACAAGTAACCCCTTTATAATATGTTGCTAATAGGCGTGTTGTAGCTAGTTTTTGTTCATTAAATCAATAAAACCGAAATTTAAGAGTTATTTTATTTGGCTAAATATTGCACAGTGGAACAATACAAATTATGATAATTATAAAAGGAAAGTAGTATAATTTTCTTAATTTTTGAAATCTAAGCCTATATTTTGTTCTAATTCATTATTTTTGCATAACAACATAAATTTGCATAATATATTTTATAGGAACTTAGTTTTACATGGGGATTACTTGTTCATATATACATATACATATATGTAAAAATCTATACATACGAGGTACGTTTGTTCAGCAGGATTTTGCATATACGCAGAGAACAATAAAATGAAGCATATTACAAAACGTCTTCATTTGTACAGAATTACGATTTGTTGGCTGTTTTTCATTAAATAATTTTTACATGATCGATTTTCAATTAAGGTTATAACTATGGCGAATTTGATTCGCTACAAAGTGTTTTTATTTGTAAATATAGCTTTAGGATATTAGAATATTAAGTAGAAATGAATACTATGAATTTATTATTACAAAAGTAATTAAATAACATAAGAAAATTTCGAAAAAGATTAAGTTGTAGTGATAGATCATGTTATATGTTATTTAGTAATCTGTATAAACTAAATATTTATTATAAAGATATAAGCAAATTAATATTTTATATATATTAAAAAAGGCTTATAAAACAGGAAGAAAAAAATTTACATATTAATTTACGTACAATACAAGTAAAATATATGTATGAGCCGTTTTTCTTTAAATCGTGTAAGTCCAACTGAAAAAATGAGTTGAAGTTAATTTTAGTAACAGATGATGAGATAAATTTTTTTTTTTATATTTATAATAAAGTCAATATAGTACAATATTTTCATGAATTCAAAAATGGAATTACATGAATTTCTCTTTGAATCTGATATAAATCTATACCAATGTAAATCCATTCATTATTTTTGCGGAATATATAAGAGCTTGTGACTTCGATTCAGGCCTAATTAAAAAATACGATGTATTTTATAAAAACATTTAGAATGTTACAGCTCAAGAACATATTATAATGACATGTGGAATGTCAAAAAATCTCAGCAAAATAACATTATTGCTGTTATATACCAATTCATAGCAGTAAATATAATGATATGTTGAGTTTGTTACCTTATATACTTTCTATTCACCATGAAAATTTTAGGACACTTTGTACGAATCCAAATGAAGACTAAAAGATGATTAAATCTTTTTGATGAATAAAAGTTATTAATATTATCCTACCCAATGTTATTAAATATTATCCTTCTCATTTCTTCAAAGTTGTTTTTTCATTAAACTTATTATAATAGTATTCTCAAAAATATTTATCAAATGAATAAATTTTTATATTCAGTAGATCTTTATTCTATAATTGTCATTATTTATTTTAGAATAAAGTTTCAAAAAAGTATTTCTTAATAAATTTAAATTTGATATGCACGATTTTCCCTTTTTTTGAGAATAGTGTGTCTTCATTAGCAATTAACAAAAACAGTTGTATTTTGACAATATTTATAAAAACGGTCACACATAATAAAATAAAGCATATTTGGAATATTAAAAGCATAAAACTAGCTTATTAGCACATTTAACAATATTTTAAATATTTTAACATACAAAACATTAAATATCTGGGCATAAAGATCGTATATGTACCGTTTAAAAAAACGGCTCATATATACATATATATACATATACACATATATATATGTATATACATATATATATGTATATGTATATACATACATATATATGTATATACATATATATGTATATATATGTATATATACATAAATTATTCATTGTCGATATTTCATCAACAATTTGAAGTGAAGTATTATTAATACCAATTAGAAGAAATGTAGATTAGAACCATTTATCGATTGTATAGGAATGTAAATTTTTTGGTCGTCTTTGCTTCATACATTTATACCCCTATATAATTACATTGTTCATTCTTTAATTAATCTTATTGTATTAACATATAATATATAGCTAAAATAAAAATAAAAATCACACGATCTTTTTATGAGAATAATTCAATTTTTATATATCCACGCATCATATATTGGAACTTTAATATTTTTAAAATTAAAAATTTAAGTTATGATTATATTTTCTGATTTCACAACTAGTTACAATAAAATGCCACTCATTTTATTATTTGAGGAAAAAAAAAAAAAAAAAAAAAAACATTTTCCATTCAGCTTTTCTCCTTATCTTTCGCAGCTTCTATTTTACGTCCTAAAAGATCATATTTAGATTGATTTAACTCTGGATCTTGATCAGTATCCGAACTACAGTCACTATCGCTCGAATCATCATAAGAACCAAGTCCTGGTAAAATACCAATACATTTCATTCCTCCTGTATGATTTATCATTGTGTTAGATAAATATGAATTTTTGTTTTCCACAAACACATATTTTGATTCTGCATTTAGTATCTGTGGATATTGTAAATGAGAATCATCTTCCTTTGTTAAAGATTTATCTGGTTCTGGTGAAGACAATTTTCTTTTGACACCCTTGTTTTCACCTAAATTATTAATTCATGAGCAAATTTTTAACTAAATATTTGTATTATACTTCATAACTTTTTATTTTAACTTACTTAACTTTGGTTTTTCTGATTTTTTCACAACTACACCTGCCAATAGTTTTAATTGTGAATTACGACCACTAAAAGATAAAGTAGATCTTTTAATAAAATTTTAAAGTAACTATTTAATTAGTTTATTTTTAATTTATTTTTTTTTAATGAACAATAAAATTAAAGGAATAATTAATTATGACAATAGAATTTGCAATACTTAATATAATTATAATGATCAATTGACATATAGCATAAATGTATTTTGATGTAATATTTTACCTGCTACTACAAATATTCTTGTTGATAATCTGGGGTTTTTTTAATTCTTGTTTTAATCTTTCATCTAATGACTTTTCTTGTAATGAAGCAACAGCAGCTTTGAAGTCACGCATTTCTTTTTCTTCTTCAAGATTTTTTTTACGTTCTTCCTCTAATTTAGTTCTATCAACCAAATCTAAAAATTCCACTTCATCATCATCCAATCCTTTTATCATATTTTCTGAAAAACAATAACAATGCCATTTCAAATAAATTTAATTTGATAAAAAATAATTTCTGCTTACTAAGTTTATGCGCTTCTTCATATTCTGCATCTCTTTTGTTTTTTTGTTCTTGCAACCTTTCGTACAAAGACCTAGGATCATATGATTCTTCAGGAGGTTCTAAAAAGTAAATCTTATATTATCATATTTTTCAGACTTTCATGGCCATGTGTCTTATATATTTTATTATTTGAAAAATATGATAAAATATTAATTATTTTACTGTTATACACAAATTATATTATAAATATTTTGTGAGTATATTTGAAGAGAAAGAGAATATATTTACTAATAATTTAAATATTTTATGTCAACTTTAAAATTCTAATTTTCTTTTACAGTTTTGTTTCATTACATAAATTTAATAGACTACTTAAATTTGATGGGCATGACACTTGATAAATAAAGAACAGTTGAATAACTTGTACGGTAATAACCTAAAGGTTGGTCAGCTGTTCGTACACGGTCCCATTCTTCTTGCCTTATTCTCCTTTGCTCTGCTATTTCAGCTTCTGATATGAACCCAGAACTCATTTTTCACTGTTTTAATGGAACAAAGATAAGCATATATATTTATATAACGAAGAAGTTTTGATTCACATTCGGTTCGCGGTGTATAAACACCAATCATAATAAGCCAACCATAAAAAATTTCTTGCTTTATAAGCTTTTACGTGATTATATATAGAGTATGTATCCAAAAATAATCGTTTAACATATTAATATACAATTCATTATATAGCAAAAATTTACATCCTACACACTTTTTAATACTTTATAATATTTCGTAACTAACTTTTTCCTTGTCGGTAGTGGTACTAAGCACAATTCAATGTAATACAATGGACAGCCCAAGTATATAATATTTAAGATTAGTATTTAAAATAATTTCAGAAACGCGTTCATACTGCCACCTAGTAACCGTTACATCTGTGATCTATGTTTCTTGAACGATCATAGTATAATCATATAATAAACATATTATAGAACAATACTTCTATAGTTTTGTAATATTTTCTATATAAATTTGTCTTAATAAATAGAAAAGAAAATATATTTATTATAAATATTTTTTATAGAAGTTCGTAAAAATATATTTATATACTATTGGCTGATGTTTCGCGCTCAATAAATCCACCAATCCTGAGTATATGTTAAAAGATGAGCAAATTATAATTTTACGGTAGTTGCATGTCTATGTTTCACTCTTTCTTCCGCTTCTCTTTCATGCGGTCGTGAAGCCGTCAAGGTATGTGCTTTTTAGAGCTTCTTTCTGATTTAACAGAAAAGTTTAAAAAAGAACATTAAATTACTTTGTGAATTTGATTAAAAATTCTTTAAAGTGATATGGAAGTGAATATTTTTCACAGATGGCATGCTCACCAAGTTGATACTAATGGATGTTACATACCGTGTGACATCCGAAAGATTTTAGTTTGATAATATATCGTTCATCGTTTTGAAGTGTTATCTAGTGATTTAAAAGATTATTATTAGCGTTTCAAATATTTTATTGCATTAGTAAAATTACTTTTAAATCAGTAATGTAAAATTTGTATCTATAGTAACATAACCTAATTATTTTCAGATGTTCACGGCAAACGCTAAAATTATAAAAAGCGGTGGCGCTGAGCCCGACCAGTTTGAAGCTAGTATTTCACAAGCTCTTTTAGAGTTGGAAATGAATAGTGATCTAAAATCACAACTGAGAGAGCTTTATATTACTAAAGCGAGAGAAATCGAGACCAATAATAAGAAGGTGAAATATTTCTTAATATAACTACTGCACGCATAAATTTCCTTTATATGCATATATGTGATACTTAAGAAAAGATTGATTTAATTTTTATGAAATTTTGATTAATGTCTTTAATTTTATTTTAGTCAATTATTATTTATGTACCAATGCCAAAGTTGAAAGCATTCCAGAAGATTCATACAAGGCTGGTACGTGAATTAGAAAAAAAGTTCTCGGGTAAACACGTTATGTTTGTGGGTGAAAGAAAAATCTTACCTAAACCAACTAGGAAAACTCGCACGAAGAATAAGCAAAAGAGGCCAAGAAGGTGATATAATTATTTATTAATCATATTAGTATAAATACAATTATTTAGAAACAGTTTTATATTGGTATCATGAAAATGTATTGCTTAAATTTTGTGTAATGTGAGTATGTGTATGTGTTGTATAAATATGCATTAATATCAAATATATGACATTGTTTAATTTTATAGCCGTACATTAACTGCTGTATATGATGCTCTTCTGGAAGATTTGGTATATCCAGTAGAAATAGTTGGTAAACGCATCCGTGTTAAAGCAGAAGGCAAGCAACTGATCAAAGTGCATTTGGATAAGAATGAACAGACAAATATTGAGCATAAAGTATGTCTTTACGGTGTTAATCATGTGATTAAATCACATTAAATATGTAATGTATCATTGTTATACATGCACCACTATTAGCAATTTCAAAGATTCTGTCTTATCTTTTTTAGGTTGATACTTTTGCCTCTGTCTATAAGAAACTGACGGGTCGGGATGTCACATTTGAATTTCCTGAATCTTATGTATGATTTCATAAAAAATAAAGGTTATCGAAATTATTTAACTTAGTTAGTGAATTTATACCATCTTTAATACTTATTATATGCCATATGTAAAAATGAAAAAAAGATGGCTATGTTTATGGCTAAACAAAAATATTGCATCATGGTAATTTCAGTTTGGAACAATTTCTGGATAGAAACGCCTTCTGATCTGTACCAGAGATAAAACATCGAGATTTGATCTAGTATATTTTTAAACAAAATATTTATGTAAAAGTATTAGATAATTAATTGTGTAATAAATTGATCAAATTTAAAACGTACACAATTGTCATGTCAGCAGTCTCTAAAGATTGTGGTCTAAGTCTTAAAAGTATCACGCATGCTGTTACTTCGCCAATTTCGATTGCACCATCTATCATTCCAGGCCATTTTGTAGCATATTCGCTAGCAGCGAAGAGAATTCTTGTAAAATAAGGATTATCTTTAAAATACTTCAAAAATATACATTAGTGATATATGAGTATCTGTACATCAATATTCGTACCTATCGTTGGATGTATTTACATGATTAACATGATTAAATATGTGAGATGGTTGCATAACGCTCATAGGCCAAGCACTTTCTAATTTAATTCCAATATCTTCTTTCGGAGATCGTTCATATTCTTTGTAATTGATACAACGTTTCATTTCGTTATTTTGAAAACATTGGCTTAGCGTTTCGAATAATTTTAATTTCGATGTCGTTGATATAACATTGGTATCATTAAGAAATCCAGCCATCATTCCTCCTTTTACGTTATTACAGGTTGCATCATAAGCGATATTTAAGATAGTATTGGATTCTAATGTAGCTAAAACACTGCCATTATACTTATCTTTCCAAAAAGGTTTTTTGTAAAATGCATTGAAAAATATGTTATCACTATGTAGGAATAATGTTTGGGATTGAGATACATGTGCAGGTAAAGATGGTTCGATACGAATTTGAGAATTTTCCGGGGGTGGTACTGCTATTACCACGATGTCACATCTACATACCCATACACACGCAGTTATATATTTATGAAAATATTAATCTAATATGCCCGTTCGTACGATGATTAATATTAATAAATTCCATAAATATATATATATATATATATATATATATATATATATATATATATGTATATATATAGCTTAACGATAACATTATTTAAACGTACTTGAAACAATTTTGTGTAGTATAACAATAAGCTCTGTCGTCATTGAATTGAATATTTGTAACTATTTCATCATAAATTATATCACCATGTTCAGCAAGTATATGTTTTAATAATTCTTCGGTTAATCGCGCCATTCCACCCTGTCAAATAGGGTAATCTTTCCTTTTTGCGTTGAAATTTTAAAAAAATATCGCGATATTATTGGTATTATAAATTATAATTGTTTTTTAATTGTAAGAATATTTGATAATAACTTGAACGAAATAACGGTTCTCATCTCCTATCGTTACTTTTAGTCGATCGAGCAATCCACCTGCACCATTTAACATTACAAACATCCATAACGCTGATAGTTTACGAAGATCTCTCATTCCTGATAGATGAACATACGATAGAAAGATCTAATGGAGAAAATGATTGGTTGAAAAATTAGAATGCCAGAATTGGATTTTACCGCATGTACTATAAATAAGTGAACTGCATATGGATCTGGCATAAGAGAAGAACACAAGTTCTTTCAGTAGTTGATCAACACTGGTTATGGCTAATTTACGCGTAATCTTATTCTTGACATAGGTTTTGAAACATGGTTTTAAACAATTCTTTTGAATCTGAAAACAAAGGAAGAAAATTGTAAAGTTTATCAGATATTGAGTCTGATTAAAAATCTTGAATATTGTTTCTGTAAATCGATGGTCCAAATAAATAATTACCACTTGAATAAAGTAACGAATTTCAGCTGCGAATAAACTTGGAAAATTTTCTACGGGACCATCTTTTGTAAAAAACACTCTTTTTCCATCCTTGTTCTGTCTGGAATAAGTATCTATGTTCAGTGTACGGATAAGTTGAGTGACACGTTCTTGCAAGAGACTAGCATAAAAGCTCTCGCTATAATTCTGTGATAAAACGCGTCCTCCGGCTTTATCTGTAGTAATCGTAAAGATATAAGATATACATAAGATTTTATAACGAAGGAATCTCGCTTGTAAGAAAGGATATACACTGCTTCGATTGGAAATGAAGAAAAAATTATGAATTATTACCGGTTCCTTCGATGACCAGTATATTTAAAGAGGGTTTTCTTCTAAGTATATTGTACGCTATACAAAGTCCCGTTAAACCAGCACCAACGATCACTACGTCAAAGTCGTTAACGTCTTCTTCGTCATCAAGATTTAGGTTCATTTTAAATAAGAGTAAGATCTAATTAATCGATCGGAAGCGATTCATGATTGATCGTCTCTTTCTCTCGAATTTCAGCGAGTTTCCAAAGGTTTATCAAATGTTTTTCAAACTTCTCGCAGTTCACATGAAACGAAAGCGTCTCACAATAACGCTCGACTTCTTCGAGCGGTCAGTCCCTTGATAGTCGAAGCAACTTTTAACTACGGCCTTTATAATCCCCGCGATAGCCATCTTATCTCTCTCCTTTTGCTTCTCTCTTTCTCTCTCTATCTCTTTCTCTCTTCCTGTCCATTTATCCTTTCTTTCTTTCTTTTTCTCTCTCTCTCTTTATCCGCGTGGAAGAACATCCTTGAGACACCACCATGTTTCCACGAACGGCATTACCTTTTTCCACCCCCTTTACGACTGCTCTACTCTCTCTTTACGGAGCTCTGCATCTTAAATAATTGATTCTAACGTAGTTACCGCTGTTTTTATAACTGTTTTACCGGTCGCTTCCACCACCACAATATATATTATTAAGAGATCGTCTCCTTTTTAAAAGTTTGCCATACTTCGAGCAGGAAGGTGCGAACGTAAGAAGCATTGAACTTCTTTCTCATCGTGTCTTCTTCAATGGTATCATTTTTCTTATGTTCGAAAATTTTGAACGGTATTCATGGGCATTTTCTCTGATGTCAATTTTTTTTTGACAACTCCATTTGAAAGGAGCTGAAAATGTGTAATGGTTATGCGTGGAGATTGGAATAAAATCGTTGATACAAGAACAGAAATATCTCTTTTCTTTCTCTTTTTTTTCATTCTCCCGAGCTTACGGCTTTTTCGTATAGCAAGAAAGAAGTTTTAGAATGCTGAATGCAACATCGTTCTCTTCTAGAAGGCACTTTGACACAGCCCCACGGGTACATTACTAGGATTGCCGCCACCAATTGAACTCCCTCGTTTCTGTACCTTCTCCATCCACTCTCTCTTTCTCTTTCTTTCTCTCTCTCTCTCTCTCTCTCTTTCTCTGTCTCTATCTATCTGTCTTTCTCTCTTTTTCTTTCTTTCTTTGGAGTCCAAAGTCGTCGCGTGTGCGCACTATAGAAAAGAGGAGAAAGAGAGAGAGAGAGAAAGAGAAAGGGAAAAAAAGAGAAAGAGAGAGAAAGAGAGAGAGAGAGAGAGAGAGAGAGAGAGAGAGAGAAAGGGAAAGAGAGAGAGAGAGAGAGAGAGAAAGGGAAAGAGAGAGAGAGAGAGAGAGAGAGAAAGGGAAAGAGAGAGAGAAAGAGAGAGAGAACCGACCGACCTCGACTTCCTTATGTCTGCAAACACGGCAGCCTGAGGCGACATCGCCGTTCAAACAGCCAATCGCCCTGCCTTCAGAACGTTCAGAGCTGCACAACTTCAAATTCCCTCCCGCCATTGTTATCGCTATTTGACTTATCCGCGGCATTGCCACGACGACGACGAAGATGACGACAACGACGACTACGACGACGTAGGATCTGCATAATGGGCGTCATCATGTAAAGCCAAGGATTTCCACTTCGATATTATACGCGGTTAATGTCTCATAAAAGTTTATTACAAGTCTCGTACTAGCCGGTATCTATCGAGAGAAACTCGATAATGATGTGGAGGAGTTTTAATAATTCGTGAGAAAAAGCTTTACTGAGATTGTTCGTTCGTGGATTCATTCATCATTTCTTTTTTTTATTTTGTTTTTTTTTTTCTACTGATGATTACTGTAATATATATGTATATATATATATATATATATATATATATATATATATATATATATATACACATTTAGATAGACGAGATGAAATCGAAAAGAAATTATGCGATCGCAACCAGTTTCGATCTTCTTACACGACCGAAATTTTGTAGCGTGGATGCTGTAGAGAACGAGAAAAAGAAAGGGTGAGAGGGGGAGGGGGAGGAATAGGAGGAGGAAGAGGAGGAGGAGGAAGAGGAGGGGAATTTGTAATATAGAGGGCCGCTCTACGGCCCCGTTGGGAGGAATTCCGGGGTACGTTTTAAATTGCTGCATCCCCAACCTCCTTGTTTATGTATGCTATCGTGTTTCTTATTCTTGTGCGGCAGCGTAGGAGAGAGAACGCGCGGCGGCCCTCTAACTTTATGTGCACAGCACCGGCATAAGTATGCGATCTATGTGTCTGTATTCTCTTCTCTGTCTATTCTTTTTGAGTATGTGTACGTGCGCGTGTATATATAAGTGTGTACGTGTCTCTATTTTTCTCGTATGTGTTTTCACTCACACTTTGCTCCTTCTTCTCTTCGTCCTCCTCCTCCTCCTTCTTCTTCGTGAAATGTACGAGCGAAACGGCTCATAGTATTCGCGTGTTTCTTGCTCGTACGCGTGTGCGCACATCACTCTCTTTCTCTCCTTTTCTCTCTTTACATGTAGTATATATCTCTCTAAAAAAAAAGAAAAAGCCCGCGTGTTCTCCGCGTGTATTGTATCGTGGAACGCGCTCCTATTCGTTTCCTCGGCACAGGTTTCGACTTTCCTCTTTCGCTCGTCCGCCTCTACTTTCTTCTTCGTTCCCTTCTCACTCCTTGATCCTCCGTAACATCCAACCGTTTTCTCCCGTGTATTCTTTTCGTGTTCCCTACGATTCAGACTCTTTTTCTTTTCTACCTTTTCTCCTACTATCTTCTTTTTCTCTCTTCCACTCTATCTCTCTTTTTTCTTCTTCTTTTATTTTTCTTTTTCTACTTCTTTTTTTGAAACCAGTTTGACCCGCTCTCCGTTCCAATTGCTGGAAACTCCACGTAACCGTGAATTTAATCGGGCCTTTCTCGGCCACGGCAATACGCCGATTTGATTACGTTTCGAAGACTTACGCAGAGCGTAAGAGCGAGAAGCGTTCTTCGGCTAATCAAAAATTACACTTTCTGTTGTGTTATTGTAAACTTCTTTGTAATAAATCAATACGAATGTTAATTATTTATAGTAAATTGTAATAGTTTGATAAGAAAATATAATTAATCTAATTTTTTATTGAGAATTAATTTTTAAACGAAAAAGAAAGAGAGAGAGAGAGAGAGAGAGAGAGAAAGAGAAAAACTATCAACAATATCAATGTCTAAGATTCAAGATGTTTCAAATATCTATACTGCTAATCTAATCTATCTAATTTATGAAAG